GGTAAGCAATCCGTGCCTGCCGCAACAACGGTGCAGTTTAGTAGATTTTAAGGCACTTGGAGATTTAAGGATTGGGGAGGGATTGAGGAAGAGAGAAAATCCTTCCTGGATAGTGCCTCGGTAACCTCACTCAGACGGCGAGACACAACACTGTTGTTGTTTCACGCCGGTTTTCTATGAGCCCGTGGTATCACTCCGGTCGAGCCGACCTATTTTTCCCGAAGCATGGACGCATTCTTGCATCTTCCACACTAGAGGGAAAATAATAAGTACATACTTATTAATCAAAGTATCACCGAACAACTTTTCGATTAACGTCAATAAGAACACACTTGGTGCCTGCTAACACTGTAATTTATTAACGTCATAACATTCGACTATCTTAGATTTAAATAGTTCCTTCCTAATTTTCCCCCTCCTCCGATCTTTCCTTCCCTCAATCCCTAAATCTCCAAAACACTAACCCCTAAAAGTTTGGCAACGTACTCCTAACTCCTCCGTTGTTGAGGGTGTACATGGTCGGCGTTGACTGGTACCATCCGGTAATCCGCATGCTCATTTGGCAAAAAATGTTCCAATCAATGTCATACCGTCCCAAAGACTTTGCCATGTGTTTATGTAAAAAACATCGTAAGTAAACCAGAAGTAATAAATTCAAATTCTAACACCCGGTTTCCGAAAGGCCGATCAATGTTATACTTATAGTTGACAATCCATATCCCAAAATAAAATAACTTACATTAAAAACGGCCTTAATAATTCGCACTTGTAGGTGTAAGTAATCACGTATGTATCCAGTTTCTAGTGGTACATATCTTAAATCATTTCAACCTGACTTTACGACAAGTGATACTAATCCGACAGGCGGTCAAACAAACCTCACAAACAGGTTGAGGCCGTGTTAAAAATGCCCCTAATACTCGGATCAGCCCAGATTTGTGGTAGGAGGGTTGGGCAATGCTCGCCTCTTCATTAAATCGGAGTTGTATAATAGATTAAGTAGTGTATACATATACGAGTAGGTATGTATAATACAGTTTGGTTATAAGACTTCTAAGCCAAACATAGAAACCCAAGCTCGATGTTTGTTTTATTAGTAACTACCGACGCGACGTTTGGCACGGGTAAATAAACGGATTGCCAACGGATATACATATAAACCTTCCTGTTAATTCGCTACGAAATCTGTTGCGTAATTTTAAAGATTTGAGTCTACATATGGATATAGAGACAGAGAAAGCGACTTTGTTTTATACTATGTAGTGATAAGAAAGTGGAAAATAATCTACTAATCTAGCTGACAAATAATTCGTATCTGTTTGTACTATTCTAGGATTAAGTATTGACTAGGTAATCTTAGACATGAGACTTGCCTGTATAATACAGTTTATTCAAATTATTATTTTCTTACATTCTTACACTGTGAAAAGGGTCCAGCATAATACCACGTACCAGCAAGTACAGTCGAGCACAGGCACACAGGCACGCCTAAAATAATTGTCAAAAACATCCACATAATGTATCGGGTATTAACAATGCAAAAATTGGAAGCGGCACCGGTGCCGTGGGAACCGCTTGAATTTAGATCGACAATGTCGCAGTCAGTGATACAGTTCGATCTTTTTGGAGTATTAGTTTATTTTAGACCTCACTTAGGTTTATTGGATGGTGGATAGTCTTTATTTTAATTTTAAAAAAGCTCATGGATCTGTTTTGAACCCTTCCATTTTTATAACATCAACTACCAAATTAACAAAAGCTTACTTAGCAGCTCCCTACTTCCACAATAGTGTAATTAGGTATAATACGTACCTGTAGTAAAAGTAATAGAAAGTTTGACTGCACGGTTGGCGCAGTGGATGGGCAACTGGCCATCGCGCAATGTGTCGTGGGCTTGATTCCCGCAGGGAACAACTCATTGTGAAAGCCACAAATTGTTGTTGAGGCTATGGGTGTGATGTGCATGTGAAATTGTATGTATGTAAATGCATCCACGACACAGAAGAAAATCCAAGCGTGGGGCTATAATGGAAGTTGATTGATGCCAGTTATTAAAATAATTTTAAAAAGTAAAAACTACATAGATATAGAGAATAGATACTTAAGCATTCCTGACCAAACACATTTACCTTATTAAAAAAAGTCACACTCTGTATATTTAACCGTTAACTACACTACACATTGTGATCTTAATTAAATGACGTGATATTCGATTTCGTTTTTGATAACTATTAGTATGTATATAGGTACTTTGTCTGGTGCCTACCAATAGTCTGCAGAATTCAGACAAGGTCATCAATCGGGCTGGGTAGCCGACCTCATTTACATCACAAATCATCGGGAGGCGTCCGTTGCGTTGAATCACAAGTTAGGCGAGGTTTAGTAAGTACCTATGTAATTACATTAATCTGAAAATAAATACTGCACAGTTGGCGTAGTGGTTGGGCAACTGTCTATTGTGCAACGGAACAACCCTTTGGGTGAACCAAAAGTTGTTGTTCCGGGCCTGGGTGTGATGTGCATGTGATTTCCCATTTTTATGCGTTTTATACACGAATGCATTGAAATAAATACACGCACCCACAACACAGATAACAATCCTAGTGTGGAGCAACTTTTTTTATGTAAAAGGTCGGCGAACGAGCAGACGGATTAGGTACCTGGTGGTAAGCAATCAGCGCTGCCCATGAACACCCGCAACGGAGGAGTTACGAGTGCGTTGCCGACCTTTTAGGGATTAGGGTTTTGGAGATTTAAGGATTGGGAGAGATCGGGGGAGGGGAAGAATTGGGCCTCCGGTACCCTCACTCACACGGCGAAACACAACGCTGTGGTTGTTTCACGTCGGTTTTCTGTGAGGCCGTGGTATAACTCCGGTCGAGCCGACCCATTAGCGCCGAAGCTTGGCTCTCACACACTTTCTAATAAATAAAAAATCGACTGATCGATGTCAAAGCACAAATTTTGAGTACCCTTACATTCAAGCCATATCTATACTATCTTTACCTACCTACATCCTAGGTGAAGTGTGTGGTTGAGGATGTTTTGTTTTTTATTTTTTAAAAATTATATCACAAATTGCTCAAATGACTTATGCTACTTTTACTATACTTACTATACTGCCAGCTTTTCACTTTTCTGTTTCAAATTTATTACCGAATAGCCGAACGAAGTTCATGTGATGTTTATGATGACATTTGGCATTGCAAGCTGGCTAATTTATCCCCTGGTACTGAAGACGAAGCTGCTTACAGAAACCAGCGCAACACTATGGTCACTTCTTAGCATTGAAAAGATTTCACATAATTTTTGTAGGTAAGATTCGCTTCATGGAGGAAGAAAGAACATGAAGTAAGCACCTACCTACTTTGGTGGGTACCTATATTAAAAATACCTTTGTAAATGTAAAATAAACAAAGTAGCCGGCCCATAAATAACACGGGAACATATTTAAATACAATTATAATTAGACGGCGTTGTCCGGTACGGCGTACAGAATCAACTTGTCTCATTTCAGGCCGATCGCATACAAGTGTCGGCCGCGCACCGGACAAGAAAATCACCGCTAGTACTGCGACCGACTCTCAGCCGATAACGCAAGAGCAAGATACATTGCACGTCCATTTATCTCGAGCACCTGTTAATTGGAAAAGTTATTACATGACGGTTGTTGCATTGATTACCTCGTTTGCAAGTTTGAAGACAGCTCATCTATCATCTCTGAACAGCGAAAAGGAAATCTTTTTAGTCATACAGTTTAATAAATTATTGTGACTTTTCAATATATTAAATTATTTAACTATAATACAATACTTTCATTATAGTATAAAGATACTATGCTTTCATTGGTTGATTTGAAGATCTATGTAGGTAGACGTACTTAATTTTTGCAACTTTTATTTTTTTATTTGGTAGTACTCAAAACATTTTGATGATGTTCGTTGCGATTTCATTTCACAGTATCGGTTCCGTCATATGTACCTATCAATAATTATTCGTATGTAACATTAGTAACAAGTATTGTGGTAAAACTAACCATGACATACTGTGTAAGTGAGCTATGGCCAATCCCCAAATCCTTAACCTTAAAAGGCAAGCAACAAACTTGAACTCCTCTTAGTGTAGCAAGGGTTTTTTGGCACCTACGATCGCTTATCATCACGTGATCTGTCCACAGTTTTATGCCACAGAAACTGTGATAACGTCTAAGCTCACCACATTAAGTCAAGAAAATTAATACCAAATTCGAATGAATGTGTCGAGTAAATCAGTGTTCAGTCAGACATAAGTCAGTAAGTATGGCAGTAAGTCAACGTCGTTAATCAATGATCACATAGATACCCGTGTAGTGTGTTTGAGGTTGCGCACGCGACGGACACCGCGTGCTTTGAACATGGTGTCAAATAGCAGTCATTTATATCATGACACGCAAGCCTAACATAGATATACGTGTTCATAGTGAATTAGGTAATTTATAAAAAAAAGCATAAACAGATCTACAGCACACAATTAGTAAAATGTATGTTTATAATTAATCAAATACCATGTAAGTAAAACTCTTGTCCAATAGTCGAACTTACATCTTTTCTATTAGTTTTGTTAATTACTCAGATTCTTAAATCTCTTTTTTGGGTCAAAATCATCAAATGACTTCTCTCGCTCGGGGTAAGGGAGAGTAATTGTAAGACTTACAAAAGTACTAAAAACACCCCGGTTTTTAGTTATAGTAAAATATTCCTTAATTTTTTTATAAGGGAAAATTATAAAATGACCTCGGTGAGGTTTTTAGTCAGTAAGAGTCTCAGAGTTATATGACGATTTTTAGTCTGACACACTATTCCCGTCGTTCCTTCTGCTCCGGGCCGAGCCCGCGGAACCTTATTGCGCTTCCGTACCCGCGACACGTTGCACACTTGCCCAGCCACCGCACCATCCGTGCAGTCAGTTAATCTCTAAGGGGCGTTAAAAGATTTCAATTTATTTTAATACAATTTATTCGTAATATTAATAATAATAACAAGCCTATTTTTCTCTTATAGTACATACATCTGCACAACTTCTGTCAATGTGTTCACTAAACTTGTTTTATATTCACAATCCAAATTCACCTCCATGTTCCGACTTTTCAACACCAGAGCGTCGCTAGCCAGCAAGGCTTTTGATAACAACCTCGTTACTTCTTGAACCTTATTATCCTTGAACCACACACCCACTTTATTCACCAAACTTAACATTTGTTTCTTTGATAAACTTTTAATACTCCGCTTAGACATAAGTCTACATATTCTTACGTAATATGCCGCATCTTCAACTTCCAAATCATCTAGATGTTTCAATAAATCATAATGTATCACTAATATTTCTTGTTCTACGTCCTTGTTGGTTCTCAATTCAATGAACTCGTTTACTTTCCCGTTTTTAGCTGCTATATTCCTGGCGAGTGCAGCAATATTCATACTGTATATCATGTTGTTGATCAGCCTAAATATTGCTTTGATAGTCGTCCTGTCACTTGTCTGCCGCACTACTGAATGTAGCCATGACAGCAGACCATGTCCTTCAACCAGTATCTCGAAAGCTCTCGGCACTGCTACTATGGAACTCAGTGCTCCCAAAATTGTTTCCTTTACTTTCTTGTCACTTAAAACCGAGGAATAGAAATCCATGATCATTTTGAGGCACATTGTTTTGAATACCACATCTATGTCTGTCATAGTTTTAGTTCCATCTCTGATGATTTCAAGTATCCAAAGCCTCCGTTCAATAGCTTCCACGTCACTGTCGTGGAAGAGGCTGAGAAAATCAGGTACCAAAGTACAGTCTACAAAGTTTTTGGCTATCAGGAAGTTGTTGACAGGTTTGTATAGAGGGTCGAAAGGCGCTGTAGAGACCATGAGGGCCCGAGCGAGGTACAGAGCGTCAATGGCGGGAAGCTTCGGATTCTTTAAGTCCTGACCCTCAAACGGTTCGGAGCTGGTGATGGCAGATGTGAGACTACGACGCAAGGTGCTAATGAAGTCCGTCAGGAACAGCTTGTCGTTTTTGTGTCGTCTGAAATAGAAATAATAATGAAGATATTAAATGAAATAACTATTTTGTACCAAAAACCATTAGAACCAGGTAAAAGTCACAAAATTAATTGAAGATCAACTTGCAAGGTATGACATTAATATCAATGTGACGCTTTTTTTAAATACTAGAAAGGGTGGGTACAGAAGATTTACAATTCAAAATCCATACAATTCACAACCTGTTTGAGTAATTCAAAATTATTACCCAAAAAAACATTCTGTATACTACGAATATAACTAAATATCTTGGGAAAACCGTTAAGACGTGCAATAATACTTTACCCAACCCGGGAATCGATCCCCAATCTCACAAGAACAGAGGAAGAAATATTATAAAATAATGTTGTTAGAACTCACGTTTCAGTTTCCAGCAGCATACAGAAGCGGTGGAGCACGTGATACGCGGCCGCCCGCATCATGGGGCAGTGCGAGCTGAGCGCCATCACCGGCACCGACAGCAGTCCACTGCGCAGCATCTTGAAGCAAGACGCCACCGAGCCCGGCGCCAGCAGATGACTCAGCAGGGGAAACACGAACATAGGATCGTAAATCCCCTCATCTTGGTCTGTGTTCGATGAATGTAGCAGATCTCCTCCAGCATACTGAGACATTACACCTTCATACTTCCCTTTAACAACCAAATTCCTCACAGCACCCTCACCATCTTTAGTAACTACTGGCTTCAGCACCCCATCTTCCATCATCTCGTTTAACACTGACCTTACTGAATCTGTTACATCACGCGCCACACCTATGTTTGCATTTAATTCATAATGGTACTCAAACTTTTGTGACACTGGAAATTTTCTAACTGTTCTTTCAATAATCTCTTTGTCAAATAGATTGAGAACTTGATTCGGCGTGGGGTGGGACCACAGTGACGATGATCGGTTCTTCTTGACAGCATAGTAATTAGCAGCAGAGTCGCCCCATACGTAAGGTTTGTATTCGTTGACCGGTTGACCGTTCGTTTCATAGAAATGTAAAATGGCTACAATTAGCCTGTCGCACGGACTTCTCGTGGCGTGGTATGCGCTTAGGTAAACGGGCACATGCTGTGTTTTCATAACAGACTTGTTCTTTAATATCAACGTGTATAGGAACTCTATCAATCTAGATTTGATGTCAGAGCTGTAAAGACTAAGCATGACATTTAAGAATTCTGAATGTGATGTCACCATGTCAAATAAAGTCGTTATATCGTCGTGGTTGTCTGGGTACAGAAGTTTCACTAGGCCTGTTAGTAAAGCGAGAAGTTTTGGACCGATTGTATAACCTTGATCAGCCGTTTTGACTTTTAAAGAATCTTTCAACGTTGCCTTACAGAAGTTCTGCCATATAGCACCCTCGGTAATTTTTTTTAAATCTTCCTTTTGGGCAGTTTCTAATCCTTCGACAATTCCACATATTTGGACAATGCTATGGACACAAGTAATAATTTCATTCAAAGCATCTATCTTATTTTCCTTTAAAGCCATAGTCGCCAGATTTAACATACACGACAAGTAGTTTAGGAGATGTTCCTTCTTAGCAATATTTTCACATATCTTCAAAAATATGTTATGTAATATTTGAACATGACTGCACTCTACTGTTTCGAATTTATGGGTTTTATTAAATAACTTCAAACAGTCTTGGACGTCCATACACTCGATTACCAACTTTCTGATAAATTGCCAGCACGTCACGTAAATTTGACCAGCTTTGTGAGGTTTTTCGACCATTTTAATAATATTAGTTTTGTATTCATTAAATATAGTTGCTAAAAATTCTTTGTTATCGAGCAAGAACTGATTGTGGTTGATTACTGCGGAACCTAGAGGTAAAGTTAGTTCTCGTTGGGCTAATACCTCAGGACGGACGATTTCATCTTTAAAAACGTTGCAAAATTTTACGTTAAACTTCAACAATACTGCTGCAAGGGTCGCAGTAGACTTCCTCAAGTTATTGAAGTAGAAGAACTTTTTGAAATCATCTTCCGACACTCGCAATGCTTGGTGCGGTTTGTTTTCGAAATATTTCGTTAATGCGTTCTCTAAACTTGTTAGATTAGGATTCCACTCTTTGTTCGAAAGTAAATCGGTGTAAAGGGAAATGGTTTTCTTTAAAATATTTGGTTGTAACTCCAAACTGATTGTTTCAGAATACTTCTCTATCAAATATCTCAACAACTCTAGAACTAAACTGGGTTCCTTGTCATCTCTCAAACAAGCGTCTGTGTCCACGCTGAATATAAGATTAAATAATTTGATGTCATCTTCATTAGACAATCCTATTTTTTCTAAAACGCGTGTTGTGTACAGACTGTCTGCATTCTTCCTTTTATTAATCTTGATGAAAGCTTTAGTGATTTCGTGATAATTCTTTTGTTGATAAGTATTTAAAAGTTTATGTTTGTTATTTAAATAATTTACAATGTCTGTGTTATTTGTCAGGACTTGTAGAAGAAATTCGGTTGCATGTAAACTTGATGAGTCTTTGCCAATGTTGAGAGGTTTGTATATTTTAAGAAACTGCGGGTTTTTAAATAAGGTCAGTACTATCGTTCGACATACATCAACACAGAGCTGTTTTTTACCGATTTCGATAATGCACTGAAAGTAGTCAGTTATTCGTTTCTGCTGCTCTTCACTCAACTGCCCAATGTTTGTAAGTCTCACAATACAAAATATCAAATACTTTGCCCACATAAACATTTCCGAATCGTCCACTACTTTTGAAGAGACGAATCTATAATGAATATCATTGATTACAACATCGCCGTCATCTGAAACCTCTTCCAAAAACGGGAACACTTCTTTTAAAGAAACTTCTTCACTATCGACTATGGAACTTGATATGGTTTTCAGAACATTGTCTTGGCCCACAATGGCGTCGGAGATAGCTACTGGTTGCCCTGTCCAGCTCGCGACGTAATTTCTGGCATCTAATTTACAATCTCCAATTAATACTTCAGTTAACTCAGGCGAGTAATTGCAATGAAGTAAATTAACAATGTAAAGTGAGAGAAAATGTTTAAGGTTCTTCTTAGCATCTTTGTTTGACTGCAAGTACTGCATGCAACCCACAATAAATGGCGAAGGCATTCTACTTTCCAAAAACACATTATCTTCTGTAGTCTTATTCTCCATTAGGTCATTAAACAGCTTCTTCAAACTATCTTCAGTATTTTCTGAAGATATTTCAAAGTGCACCAACTGGTTTCTCACATACTCTGTCAAATCTGTAATGTTTTCTAGAATGTATTCTACAATGTCGCTAATCAAAGTGGATGGGTTCACTCTAGCATTTCTTAATGTGTACAATATCAAATGTATTTCGTCTTCATCGCCTTCAAAGATTGCCGTATTTTTAAAGTAAATACGTAAAGTATCCTTAGCTTCGATCCACGTGTCGTCCTCTTCACTCATATACACGTCTAACATTATTAAGAAAAGTTCCTTAAACATTGGGTTCTTCAATGATATTGCTGTACTATCCAATTTTAGCCAAAGAGATACAATTTTAAATTTCAACAGAGCAATGTGACCAGTTTCCAATGTTTTTGAAAAATCTAATATTTTCTTCATATCTATACTACCTTCCAAAGTTTCAAAATATGCTGGATGGATGTCATTGTACAGTAGAAGGAGATCAACTAGGGATATGAGAGCATCTGTATCATTAATTTTGGGAAGTCTATAGTCTTTAGTGTTCTCTGCTTCTGTTTTACCAGATGTGACATTGTCTATTAACATTACTATAGTAGCAGGTGTAGGTAAATGTTTAGGGATAAAATATTCCAACTTGTTTTTTAAATCAGCAGTCTGTGGTGTTTCTTTGCTCTCCAATATCTGTAAGTACCTCTTGAGACATTGCAACATCTTGACAAGAACTCTGACACAATACAGGGACACAATTTGATCCTTCCCTAAACTGACATTAATAAACCTTAGTAAAGGAACTGGTAAAGTTACAAATCTGATGAAATTTGCAATTTGTACAGGATTTAGGTGAGTCATTCTAGACACCATATCCTCTGGTCTCAATTTATTTAAAAGCTTGACTGTAAAATCTATAGTTCTTTCCCATATTGGAGAATGTTGAGGGTCAAAGCTTTGTTCTATGACACTGCATACAGCTCGGTGAAGGTCAGGACACTTGTAGATGACATTCAAGATAACCTCACATTCAATGTCATTCTCCCATGGCCTCTTCAGGCTCAGCAGAGCTTTATACAGATTCTGATTTTTATTCACATCAACTGTTCCTAGAGAATTGTCAATGAAGTAGAGACCAGTTTTGTGGGATGTAAATAATGTAAGCAGTATATCACTGAGTAGATTCATTATGTCAGGACGTAACTCATTCCTTACTTCTTGGCTTAACTCTGGAGGACCTTTCCAAGAGAAGACTTTAAAGAGATTATGCAAAACTTGATGACTGAAAGTTTTTAACTTGAGACTTTTTGAAATTAGTGCATTATCTACAACATTCTTTTTCAAAATGTTTAAAAATATCAACACAGCCTCTGGTTCATCATTGATCAAGCCGGGTATGACAAGAGCCAGCAAGCCTTGCTTCTCTAGGAGAGCTTTGATTAATGGCAAGTGGCCTTCTATCAGGAATGATGTCATGAAGTGAACAAATGTTGTCCTTACGTTATCCTTTTCTTTGAAGTTAGGCTTTTCAACCACATGCTGTAAATGTTTTGGAGTTAATGGTGCCTGATTGAGCACTTCAACTCCTAGATCTGAATTTAATGTGACCATAGATGTCAACAATTTAAGGACTACTTTCCTGTGTCGAGGACCAGAACTCTCACTGATCATAATCTCAATAGTAGACATGAATGTGTTCAGGAAGTAACGGCACGCCTCCTCTGTGATGGATATCATATGAGGAAGGGAAGACTGTACCTTTACGATGATAAGGTGAAAGATGTGGAATGCTGGGGTGGCTAGAGTCAGATTTTTCTTACTATCTGCAGTTATCTGTCGCAGTATTTCATGTGAATTGCCACCACACTTGAGATATTCTAGCAGGTATTCAGCAGAACTGTCGGGATTTAGACAGACTTGTAGAAATTGTGTTAAAGCTGGAAAATATAAAAGCATTATTATTGATTTTTATTTCGATCCAACATTAAATATTAAATATTTGCGCCATAATCACGATATTAACTTTAAAATATTTCTAATGAGTATAGGAATGTAATGTTGTGCAAGTAGCATGCACTTTGTTTACAATTAATAAATGTGCACATGATGTTCAGTTATTCTAATTAAAACAAGTATTAACGCTTACCCATAGTCTGGCCTGGTTTTGCTGATAGTTCTTTACGAAAATATTTGACATCAAAACCGTCCTTTTTAGATGTAAATGCAGGTTTATTATCAAGTCCCGCCTCGTTTTGAGGTTGTTCATCGGTTCCATTTTCAATGCTTTCAGAATCAGACTTTTTAGGCTTTTTAGGTGATTTATCTTTTTCGCTTTCGAATTTACGTTTACCCATATTGCTGCATTAAAAGTTTAATTAATATTTATAAAAATCCACACCGCACACGTGAGAATGTTTTGGCTACTATTGACAACGTGAATTTGACAATGACATTGACAATATTTGACATTGACTGTTGTTTAGTTTTTGCATTATAAGAAAAATGTTTGACTTAAAATCTAGTCTTTTGAGCCAACACTATATTCTTACTGATAAAACAAATTTAAAAAATGTGGGTACTCTGGCTTATGTGTTTTGTTTCTTTTTTTTACTTAATAGGTTAGCAAGTATGTGGTTTTCTTCCTTTTGATGATAAGTACCGAGAGTTGGTCGTCATTATTAGGATGATTGGACCTCCAGAGACCTCTCCAGCAAATATAGGCTAATCATGGCTAAATGATTACTCTAGACTCGATAGATCAGAGTATTATAAAAAAAGGGGAAGTCAGCATAAAGAAGACTATGCTTAGAAAGGCCTGTTTCACAATATTTGAATAGCCAAGATAGATATAGAACCTTACTTATAACTAGTCGGCACATTATCGAATACTAATATTTATGAAGGTGTACAACTATAACTATAACCTGTTACAGAAGAGTTAAACCCAACCGCTACCAGCTTACATAGGTCTAGCCCGTAGCCAGCTAATACTAGGTGTTGCCGGTGTTGACTAACATAAATTAGTCGTAGTATATTGTTTGATCCATTTCAGTGATTATAATGGACCAATATATTAAAAGTTCGTGTAACTAAAAATGAACCCAACAGTAATCTTTACAGTTATTAGCAAAAAAAGCGAACGATACTGCTAAAGCGAGTCATTTTATTTCTATATTTTACCACACCACACAGCACTAGAAACTCAAACCGAGGAAGAATTAAAAAAACACAAAAGTAAGTAAAAAAAATATTTTTATTGTATCTACTTAATAAAATTTGACAGAAAAATCATACATTTATTATTGTAATATCAATTTAGTTTGCTATTTCATCACTTAGTTTCAATGAAATATCTAGAAATAGGTTACTTTTAAAGTCAGACTTGTTAAATGCACTTGTCAATTGATTAAAAATGTTCTTGGCTTTCAAATCTACTCCCTGATAGATTATAGGGATAGATAGCCAAACAGACCATACTTTATACACTGAAATTACAACTCTACCCAAAATCTAGTATTGTCATAAGATGTATGGATTTTCTGTGTCAACAATAACTTATCTCTACTTTTTTTCTGATCAACGATCGATTTTAATCGATTTATCAATAGAATAAAAACGTAACAAAAACTAATTATTACTTAAAATTATCGTTACCTACTTGTCGTTTGATTAACAATAATAGGGGACATTAAGTTATATTATCTCATTTAAGTATACAGCAGCTTATTGAAAAAGATAAAAACATATTTTAATCAATCTTATAGAAAGGTAAGGTAATTTTTTAAGTCCCCATAATATTGACGTCGTGACTAGTTTTCTTTGTAATAATTAAAAAATTGTTATTATTAAAGTTACCTACTGGATATAGTTTTTCTTTCATACCCATGTTTGTATTAGTTAAAACTTATTGGTACAATTATCTTAGAACTAAGAGATCTTAGGCACGTTATTTTACGCCTTAAAACTCCGTCCATATAATATTACAATCTTTTAAAAGTAACTTACCTGCTAAGTTCACTACATTTTTGTTTAAAAAAATGGCTTACAAAACTAATTCGTTTTGTTGGTTGGTTTAAAAATACGTTCCATGTATGCACATCCATGATCCAAAAGTATGAAATACTTATTACAAAAAATATTAAATGAAATATTACAATAACTGACGTCTCGTTGGAATAATGTAATACCTACTTAATAAAAACAAAACAAATCGTAGACATTTTCTGTTGTCTGTTAAACGGACTGGCAGACAAAGTTTTACTGTGTCACCGTCATAAAATTGGATTGCTTTATTTTGCACATATAGAAATAAAGGAATAAATTTACTGACTACCTCCTTCTTGCGATGATTTCTTCAAAATTCGGTTCCAGTTCCCGGATCCTATCTAACAAGAGATCAGCTAAATTTAGGTCTCTGTTGGAATCTGCAACAAGATGGATAATTTAATAGAGAGGGTCCCTTAACTTAGGCGTTCCACGCGCGCCTCAAAGGGTCAATGGACCACCAGAGACGGTGCCTTACATGGCTGATGCTCAGCCGGGGTTGCGGGGCTAGCTTAATAAGGTACAGCAGCCTCAGTTTAAAGCAAGAGCAGGAACGGGGCACAGTTGACGTAGTCGCTGGGTAACCGGCTGGCGTGCAGCACGTCGCCTGTTCGATTGCCGCACGGTAGAACTCTTTGTGTGATCCGTAATTTGTTGTTCCGGGTCTGGGTGTAATGTGTATGTGAAATTGTATGTTTCTTAACGCACCCACGACATAAGAGAATAGTGAGGGACAAAAATTAAAAAAAAAACAAGTCCGTCTATCCTCGAATGTTACATAATTAATTTTAATGCATACTAATCTTATAAAGCTGTAGAATTTGTTTGTTTGAAGGCGCTAATCTCCGGAACTACTGTTTCGAATTGAATAATTATTTTTGTGTTTGTTAGTCCATTTATCGAGGAAGGCTATAAAACATCACACTTTTTTTTACGTAATAGATCGGCAAACGAGCAGACGAATTACCTGATGGTAAGTAATCAGCGCCGCCCATGGACACCGCAACGGAGGAGTTACGAGTGCGTTGCCGACCTTTTAGGGATTAGGGATTTTGAGATTTAGGGATTGAGGAGGGATTAGGGGTGGGGAAGGATTGGCCTCCGGTAACGTCACTCACACGGCGAAACACAACGCTGTGGTTGTTTCACGCCGGTTGTCTGTGAGGCCGTGGTATCATTCCGGTCGAGCCGACCCATTCGGGCCGAAGGATGACTCTCCCACACTTAAAACTTACAACACTACTGGTGAAACCGCGGGAGAGTAGCTAGTGTTAAATAATATTGCTTAACGGGTTACTCTGCATGACCAGCAGCTCACAAAGATAAGCTCCCAGCACAGCATGAAACTGGTCAAGTTACCTAGTAAATCTATTTGCACGAGCAATCCATTGAACAGCGCTCATATCAACGAATTTTACTAAAATGGATGCTTACCATCGAAATAGACGATCTCACACTTGTCCCTGCACTCTGGGCTCTTGGCAATCAGCTTGCGCAGTGTAGTTAAGAAGTCAAGCACTATTTTTTCGCGGTTGATACCCGCCAGTTCTGGAATAAACGTTTATAATACATATTTTTTTATGACGCACTGCAGAATCGAATTGTACTTATTTTAGTAACAATTCTCCCATTCGAGCACAGAGCTTCGTTGACGGTCTACGAGCTACCGATTCATTAAAACATCAGAGGAGTTACGTGTGCGTTGCCGGCTTTTTCAGGATTAAGGTTTTGGTGATTTGGAGAGGGAAAGAATCGGGCCTTCGCTAACCTCATTCACACGGCGAAACACAACGCAAGCATTATTTCTCGCCGGTTTTCTGTGGGGCTGAGGTATTACTCCGGTTGAGCTGGCCCAAAGCATGAATCTCTCACACTCAATACAGTACATAAGTTTAGCTGTTAAAAATATTTGTAGATGCACATCGCTTGCATATAATGGCGTATAAGTTCCGCAAACATACCAGATGCGCTACACCATCGAGGCAGGCCCAACAACAGCCTCAGCTCATTATTATATTGAACGCGTTGCTACTTTAAATGGTGTGATAATAAACGATAATAAATACTAAAAGAAGACCTGTAGTAGAAGAAGTAACTAAGCTGATTATAACGATAAAATACAGTTGTTCTAACCTTCAGAAAGCTCGCTGTTCTTCAAGACCCTGTGCAAAGTGTTGAGGGGCGTGCCTCCCTCCGTGCAGATACAGACAGGCCGTGCATTGGGCCGGTAGATCTTGTAAGCCGTGCTCCTGTATATACGGTTTTTTATTCCGGCCACGTCCTTCTCTATTTCACTTAATGACTGAAAAGCAATAATAATAGTGATTTATTTTTGTTCATTTTGACTATGACAATGATCGAGTTTAGTAGTGCGTTTTATGGGATACTAGCCGTCCGCCCCCGCTTCGCAAGGGTCCAACTATCTCGCTAACAACGAAAGGGTCAATTTTCCCCTCTACTTTCTAACAAATTTATTTCATAAGAACATTCCCCTGAGAAAGAAAATACAAAAAAAAAGAATTGGCAAAATTGGTCCAGGTGTTGTTGAGTTATATGCTTACCAACAAATTTTGCGATTCATTTTTATATAAGTATATAGATATTGATAAGTAAGCAGACAGATCACCAAGAATAGAAGATGAAGGGGAAGGGTGGTATTCTTTAAGGCCGCGGTGTCACAGTCGAGCCAGCCCTTACGTGCCTAAGCTTGGCTCTCCCACACTAAATAGGTGCTATTGGAGAAAATAGTCTAAAACCTGACAAAAACAAGCAGACGGTAAAATATAAATTAAACTCACACTGCAAGCTTCTAGTTTGGGCAGGTCGTCTCTGCCAGTCTTGTTGAACTCCTCCAGCGCTGGAGGACTGAACAGGGACTTGGTAACCACTACAAACAGCTTCTTCACTGGGAACACTACTCCCTCTCTGCTCTCATATATTTTGATATTCTCCAAGAACCCAAAAAACTTAGAGCCGTCTGAAGGTAGAACATGGATAAGGTAACCCTCGAAGTAGCTGCAAGCCATACCTATGCCATAGTTTACTGTCTTTTTCTCATCTAATTTTCTCTCCTGAAACATAAATTGCTCTCTCTCCATCATTATTGCTTTAACATGCTTATTTCTTTCTTAATTATTAGCTTAGTTGTACAAGTCTCAAAAACGTTTCATGTTTAATGTCATGCACACCTGTAATTTGTACAATGGCTTGTGCATCCAATTATTTGATTATTGAGTTTTTTGTATAACATTGGGTGATTGTATTGTTGGTGTGCTTATTTTTAAATAAATAAATAAAGATTTAATTTGTAATTATAAACGGCCCCGAAACATTTCACAGAAGTTCAAATTTGAAATGCTTTCTTTCCGCAATGCTATAGAAAAAAAAACACAATGGATCTGAATTTTGAAATTTGAAAACTTTACAATACTTAGACTGGGGCACAAGGCAGTGTACATAAAGTAAAATTACAGTATAAATAATGTAACATACTAGTAAATGAGATACTTACAATCTCTGGAAACTTGGCAATTAAGGTTGCGATTAAAATGAAAAAGAATCTTTCGTCAATGATTGGTTGTTCATATGTCAGCAGGAGTACAACAGCCCCCAGGAACATCATGACATGGTGTCTGTGTACTCTCCGTAGGAGCTTTACTTCTGGGAGCCGTTGATGACAAACACAGTTGTATAACACTGCACACGCTTCACAGAATCCCTGGACACTCAACACATACAGCACAAACCGGGCTGAAAAATTTAGAAAAAATTTTATTGACCTTCTCATATAAATCTATGCATTGTAATAAGCTTTTTAGAACACTAACCATGACACATACAAAATATATTGAAAATAATGATGTACTTACATGAAGTAACTCAGAAAACTACTACTTTCAAGCTGCCATGATGTGCATGCTGATCATGGATATGAGGACTTGAAAGCAGTAGAGCTTTTCTCAGTTAATGTAATAAGCTTCTGCACTGTTCATTAATTATATTTTGAAATTTGGAAGTACCCATTATAAATAAATAAACTGATTCAAATAAAATGCTATTATTTGATTAGGCTTTAAAACAAAGTTCTGCTTACAAAAGACCAGATAGAAAGAATATAAAAATTTTCAACTCACCTATGTTTATTGCCAAAGTCTGTTTATTACTGAAATCCAAGCTCTGTGATGCTGAAAAATACAAGATACTTATTAGTGTTGCAGCTGTTATAACAATTATTTTCCTTGACTCCATGTTGGTCAATAAAAGTAAAACTACTAATACTTATTAAGTACATGTTACTGTCTCTAAATTGGGAACATTCATCCACTTTGTTTAAAATGATTCAGTTTCATTTATTTGTTGATTCATTTATTTTTGAGAACTGGTTTAACTACATCATGATAACTTTTAAATAGGTAGGTATTATAAACAAGCCTCTTTGTTTGCTATAAGAAGGCTACATTCAAGTACAAGCACAGATAACAATATTTGTAAGATCTTGTAGTTTCATAATAATTTCTTCTTTTATTAATACCTACTTACCAAATGAGATGCCACCCACAAATAAAACTTGCATAACATAACTATATGTGTTCCGATCCATTTTCTGTAAAATAAAATGAATTTAATTAAATTCAATAGTTTTTTGATTACTTACTTAGTTTTACAGCCTTTTAGCAATGTGTTTTGTGTGTGAATGTTAAGGACATACCTTAACTTGTTTTTATATTTTTCAACAAAAAATTTCTTAGACCTTAGAAAAGTAACACAAGTAATATAAACAAATTTGTAATACTTATCTCAAAAATATTGCTAACTTCCTACATTGTACTAAAATAACTTTTAGGCAAAACAAAGTTTAAATGTGGGAGAGCCATGCTTCGGCACGAATGGGTCGGCTCGACCGGAGTGATACCACTGCCTCACAGAAAACCGGCGTGAAGTAACCACTGCGTTGTGTTTCGCCGTGTGAGTGAGGTTACCGGAGGCCCAATCCTTCCCCTTCCCCAATCCCTCCTCAATCCCTAAATCTCCAAATCCCTAATCCCTTAAAGGTCGGCAACGCACTGGTAACTCCTCCGTTGCGAGTGTCTGCTTGCTTACCATCAGGTAATCCGTCTGCTTGTTTGCCGACCTATTACATAATAAAAAAAAATAAAAAAAACATAACAGTAAGTACACAATTTGTTATCTTCGTGAACTTCTCTTGGTAATGTATGTATGTTATCGTCACAAAAGGCTATTGTAATACAAATTATTACTTCCTTCGAAGAAAATTGTAGAAATGTTACCAACAAGATCATTACCTATTTTTTTTATGATTTCAAGCCATAGAATTACATATTTATTCAACGAAGTTAGTATGTAGGCATTATTCCTTCTTATTAAAATTTTCAGACCTAACTCTCTATGTAGCAGTAAGCTGTTAATAAAATTAAGTGATTTGATTACTGAAGCATTATTATATTTCAACTTTTAAGTTTACATCCATAACACAGTTCGTAAATATAACCTCAATTATTGTTTTCTTTCAAGTATGAATAGGTACTTACAAAATTAGTATTATTTTGCTAACATATTCATTAACACATTATATTCAATTAATTAGCACTACTCTCAACTCATTGTTAATGCTGAAAAGTAAGAAAATGCCGCTTGTTTATAACTGGAAGCACTGTTGTTGACAATATGTTGATTAATCAGTGACAATGACATTTTATGGATCAATCTGCGATGTAGTATAGATTATAGAGGTAATGGCTGACCAACCCAATGGAAAGGAAATGAAAATTAATTAATTTCATCACGATGGAGCTAAAATTTGATCTACGTAAAATTCGTGTGTTTAACCCAAGCCCCAAATTGACGTATTCACTAAAGGACAAAGCCGAGATGCTTTATAATGTTACACCCAGTCTCTAAGACCCCTAAAGCTAATTTTACCAGCTACTGCCCGCGACTTCGCCCCCGTGAAATATTAACTTCTGCAGATTTTTGGTTTGAAAACTATCCTATGTCCTTTCTCGAGTTCCGAACTATACCAAATTTCACACAAAGACAGACAGGCGAGAATTACTTTCGCTTTTATAATATTGGTTTGGATTTATTTAAGTTTGAAATTCTATTCAGATTAACAAACACTATTTAAATTCAGGGTTAATTTTTGCTATCATCCCTCGTAACCACAGCCCCACGGGATATCAATAATTTTAGGAACCATGAAACAAACAAACCGGGGTTTTGTTGCTTCATGCTGGGGTTTTTTTGTGAGGGGAAAATCATCAAATTACCTACTTCTATGAAAATGGGGCGGCTCGACAGAAGTAAGAACCGGCGACTGAGGTAAGAACCGAAAGTTGGCAGTCAACAACTGTGCGATTCACGCGTAACTTTCTGCGGCGGCGATATTCCCGAACTAATACGACCTTCAAGAAACGAGCGTACTCCTTCTTAAAAGGCTGGCAACGCACTTGTGACTCCTCTGGTGTTGCAGGTGTCTATGGGCGGCGCCGCCGATCGCTTACCATCAGGTGATCCGTCAGATATGAAAGTGGTGCTCCAATTAAAAAAAAAAAAAAGAAAAAAAAAGTTCAGCGTGAATAAAAGACAGAGTTAGTTACGCATTTATAATATTAGTTTGTATAAGGGTAATATATTTTCCATGCCTTAAAGAAACGTTAATAACACATTTCAAAAAAAAAAAGAACTACAGTCTTTATTAAAATCCAAAATATTTATTGTATCAAAATGATATTGTAGGTACATAGGCACTTAATGTTAAAATTTTAAAAACTTAAAAAAACAGTCGTATCACATGCGACATTTATCGGAACTTACAGATAAGAAACAAGTAGGAACAGTGAATTCCTCGCAGTCTATGACTAAGTGGGAACTATATGTACCTACTTAACTATTTGCTATCAAACATTTTACACTTTGTGTAACTATTTATAAGTAAAAAACTAGATTCTGTCGTCATTTCACATTGAATATAATCGATCGAGCTATTTACGTACTTATACAAATATAACAACACATCTTGGAAACAAGCGTTACTATTTACATTATTACAATGCCATATTAGATTTATTTTTTTAAGCTTCTGACATCATTTAAGGCACAAAATCTCTAAACCTAAAGCCTAAGCTAACCATAAGCTCTCTATATGCGAGTGGCTAGACCCACATCACGGCATCCTCATCTTCCACCTGACGCAGGCGTTTACTGGACATTAAAGTTTCGGTAGGAACCTGATACGGATCCAGCGGGAGAAAAAGACCAGCGGCGGCAACCTCTAGCGAAGCGAAAGGAACTGGTAAGCCTGTCATGTCGCAAAGAAAGTGACGAAACGCATGAGGAAACTAGTCTACTACTTTCTCACGCCTTTGCCGCCGCAGGAGACACTGACACCCGCCTGACACTGACAAACTCTATGGTAACCGTAACCGCAAGCAACGGGAACTCGCTGCCTGATCAGAAGAAACCTGAGCAAGTCCCGTTCGGTGCGCACCTCAGTGAGCCAAGCCTAGTCGGAGCCCCTGGGGCCGATGCCATCCCTTTCAAGGGATGGATGCGGGTGCAAGCGTTTTAAAAAACCGCGCCCGCGGCCCGGTGCGGAAGGAGGGACGAGGTGTTTTTAGTCAGTATGAGTCTGACATTCCCTCTCACCCCTTCTAGGGCGCCAGAAATCATTAGATGATTTCTCGCCCTTAAAAAAGCCCCCTTAACTTACATCTGATCACTATAATAAAAATAAACTATGTAGGTACTTAAAAACAACTTCTAAAAGAAAACGCCACGCCATTATCGCAAAAAAAATCAATATACCTACATAGGTACCTATGTATTTTTTCTGTATCTACGTTCCACTTACCATGAAGTTATATTTATTTTATCCTACTTACATTTTTAAGCAGTCAAATGAATCACAACTCAGTCAGTTTCAGTTATCTTACTTTATAAATTCTTTTTGTAATCTCAATTTGCATACAGATCGGACAAACAGTTTATCTTCTTACACGAATCAACTCTTCAAGCTTTGGTTCCAATTGTTGTATTCTGGTCAGTAACACATCTGCTAAGTTTGCTTCAGGATCTTTATCTGTGAAGAAAATGAAAACTTTTACTTGATAGAACATTGTCTACTACTGTCATAAGTATGATAGCAATCAAAATTAAACGGAACATTAATTAAGTCTAGATGATGCTTCACATCATTACTGGCAGCCAATAAGTGCAGCAAAGGCCTCTTCTCACACAGATTTGAGCATTATTCACAATGCAATCAGAAACTATAATTCTAGGTTTCCTCACAACAATTACCTGCACCATTTCTAAATTCACATAGAAACGTTGAAATCTTTACCTACTAATATTATAAAAAGGTAAAATTTGTAAATCTTTGGAACCACTGGTCAGATTCCCATAATTCTTCCACTTATTGATAGCTACAATGTTCCCGAGTGCTATAGGCTATAAAACATCACGCTACAATCAAATGGAGCCGAGCAGCGAGTGAAACCGCGCGGCAGAAGAACTTGCAAAGTCACATTGCAGTAAGTAGTAATCAAGTACTTGTCAGGTTTCGAACCTGCACCCGCAGAAGACGCTTAATATCTGAAATTCACAGCTTTTTACAGAAGCTCGATAATACTAGATTTGATATGAGATAGGTTATTAAACCGGCCGTAAAAGATTTCTATCCCACTTGGGTGATAAGAGTGTAAGTCATCAACTTCAACTGACCATCATAATAAACCAGTTCCACTTTGTCTCTGCACTCTGAACTCCTGTCCAGAAGCCTCAATAATGTGGAGCAGAAGTCTTCACAAACATCTTGGATATTCACCTTGGCCAAGTCTGAAAATAATAAGCAGATTTTTTTATTAGTACCTACTCTTTACACCCGCGTGTACTCACCACAGACATTATAAGTCTGTGGTACTCACCATCATACAACTCCTTGTTCTCCATGACTCGGTATAAAGTGTACAATGGTGTAGCACACTCTGCCACGAGGTAGACGGGTGGTCCGCGTTGTCGGTGGATCTTGTACGCCGTATTCTTATAGCTACGGTTCTTGATACCTCCCACATCCCTACTCCGATCTTCCAGCGACTGGAACATCACAGCATCATCAATGGCCGCAAAAGAGGGAAGAGGCCCCTGAGGATTATTTCACTATATTCTATTTTATATTCTATTGCATAATCAGCATTCCACAGTGAAATGGCTTGTCTGAAGAAAGGAAATTGAGTAAAGTTAGTGCGATGGACAGAGACATCAGTATAGCTCTCACACACATACCTACTGAAAATGTGAAGATTGTGAAGTTAAATAGTCAAAGAAATAGAAAATCGTATTTACGAAATCGAAAACTAAATGCAATTATGTATTTAAAAGATGGTCAAGATTGTTGAGATCTCCATTCAGGTCATAATAACACACGATACCATAATTTAAGGTAGGGAAGATTAAGGTATGAACGTACAAGCATCGCCTTGGTGCTAGGAGGCAATATATTTCTGACAAAATACAGAGACTGCAATGACCCTTATACCTGAGTCACACTGGCAACTTGATTCCACCAACTGAGTGTACCTACTGTCAATGTATAAAACCCAAGTCCTTGATATTTTTTGTAAGTAATGTAAAATTAAAATTCTTACATTTCTTCCACATGTATTTAGAGTAGGTAGGTACAAAAAGAATTCGCAATAGCTGAAGGAAAGTAGAGAAGAATTTTGTTGGTTTGTTGAGACACGACGCTAGATATCAAACTCTAGGTTTTGTTAATGCAACAAACCTTTGAATAATCACCAATTCTCACCGAACAGGACTCCAGCTTTGAGAGGTCTGATCTATTTTCTTTGTTAAACATTTGGAGATCTGGAGGGCTGTACATGGACTTTGTGATGACGATGAATAATTTTCTAACAGGTACTACAATGCCCTCGCGAGCCTCGAAAGCTTGGACGTTTTGTATGAAACCACCGTAGTTGCCACCATCTGAAGGTATCACGTGCATGAGGTAACCTTCGTAAAAGTTGCACGCCATCCCTACTCCATAGCTTATAGAAGATAAGGGTGTAGTTCCCTGAAAATTAATAAGTTTATTTAATATTTATAATATTTTGACATAATATCAAAAACTTTCAAGACATGTGGTGAAAGAACACTTTAATTATTCTATCCCCGTGAAAACTACTTAATATCCTATGTTGATTACTGTTATCTGACGCTTTTCTGATGTTTATCAAAGAAAATCATTGTCTATGTACTGTAACTCAAGTAACATTATAGTTAATTAGTTACAAGCTTCCGTGTCATATGATGATAAAAAATAGCCTATGTCCTATTCCGGAGTGCATCCGATGCCTATGCGAAATTTCATCCAGATCCGTCCAACCATTTTGGGGTGATTGACTAACAAATATCCAAACATCGTAACTTTCGCATTTATAATATTAGTAAGATAACATAGGTATGATAATAGGTCTTTACCTATGAAATTGCCGTTCTACAGTACTGGCCATTTCAAATCAAAATAGTTTTTGTTAGCTAATTAATTTTGTTTTAAAAACATGGGATTCTTTTTCCAAAAGCAGTCATTTGTTTATTGATTAGTGTTACATTTTCACCGCATTTCAAATAAAAAAATACGTTTAAATTTTTTCATGCAAAACGGCAATTTCAGGGCAATTTCATAGGTAAAGCTAAAGGTAAACCTATTATGTATGATACTCACCAATATGGAATACTGTATAGTCAAATAGGCAATGAAAAGCAAAAGGAAGTCTTCAGAAAATATCTTTTCGTTATTGCTTATTAAGACTGCAATTGAGCCAATAAACATGATTATTTGACCAGCATTTATATTTTGAACAAGTTGCATGTTCAGCCTCCTTTTCTTATGTAATATGTCATATCCCATTGTGCTTAAGTTTTTGGTACATTTTATTGTTAAGTCGTAAACTACATATCTCACTGAAAAAAAAACATTTGGGTTCATAACAAAATGTATAATAACAATGAAAAAAAGTGTTATGTTCTTTTAATTATTATTAAGTTTGCATAATAGGATAGTTTCCTAGGTCAAAAATAAATTAATTCGATATTTCAATACAATAATATATTGAAAAATAACTATACTTTCATTCATCTATACACTAAATTTTCGAAATTGTTTTGCTAATTTTTAAGAAATGAGTACCTACCGTATTTGACGCAAAAATACTATGACGTCATAACTCTGTATTTCATACAAATTTCATAGAAAAGTATTGTTTTTAACATTTGGATAAAAGTATTGAATTTGGCTAGTTGGAAACTACCATATTCTCTATAGGTAACACTTTCTATATAAATTAGTGGAAAATAATATTCAAACATACCAATGCTGAACATCCAATGATACTTATCAATACTTTGATTTAAAGTTTGGGAACCTGTAACAAAAGATTGATACATTCCATTTTAAGCAAAACATTTTTGCCTTAAGAATTACCTAAAATACACAAATTTTATGTTTGACATATTATTATGACTCATAAATTAAAGATTCTGTAAGATTTTGGTTATTTATTTTATATGCTATAGTTTATTATTACCAAGCCATAAGTACTGCAAGTAACAATGAGCTTGACACTCTTTAATTAATTATTTATTTAATTTATGTTTACACAGATTTCATCCAGTTACATTAACACAGAAATAACAAAAACTTAGAGGAGAAGAAAAAACCATACATAAAAAGCAAACTTAGGATTAAATAGGCAGGCATTATATGAATTAAAAGGCAGTTGATGTCCGTAGTTCACAAAATAAAATTACAAGCACTAAAATATGAATGATGTCTTATTGGGTTAATGCAACAAAAATCGAAATTAGAACACTTTACTTGATTATTCAGTTTGAAGGTATTATTTTAATAACGAGCTGGACACTTTTTACATGCAGAACAGTTATATGTATGTTTATGTAAATGTATTAAATGAATGAATCTTACCAACTGTGACACCCACAGCAAGTACAACTTGCATTACATAAATATAGATCTGATCCATTATTTTAAACTTTAAACTAAGTACTGTGTAGAAAATGGCAAGAAATTATCGTCAATGATTTCTTCACCATTAGAATATTTTTATCTTATTGGAAAATAAAATAGATTTAATTAAATCCAAATTAAATTTAAAACTATTCCTTTGTTCTTTGCAATGTAACCATAATTTCTTTTTTATGGCCAAAGGAATAATTAAACTAGTAAACAAAAAGTTTCTTGAAGAGTCAAGTTGTTGCTGTTGTTGACAATTCATTGACATTTGGTTAGGTACTTCACATTGACATAGGAAATATATGGTGGAAATACCTACGAAAAAAAGGTGCCTACCTACAATCCAAAATGTCGCATAAGATGGCTGCCGTTGCTAGGGTTGTGCCGACTAAGTATTTAACGAGTATCGATGCAATTTGAGTAAAAGTTCTACGTAGGTATAGTTTTAGGGATTAGCCAGATGATTAACGGTATTTTTTTATGGGAAATCATCTAATGTCATCTCCGGCCTTTTTCGGGACAGACCGTTACTGACTAAAATCAACTCCTGTTCCTACTTTGCCGTCGGCCTAGCTAGAGCCCGGAACCCGGGGTTAACTTGGTCTCTTGATTGGCTAATGATTTTCTCAAGTCGAATTTGTATTCATATAATTCTACGTAAAGCGTCTTTTAAAAAAATAGGACTGTGTTTATGAACAGCGTTTAATGGAATGGTGAAATAGAAAAAGATCGTGTTTGTTAAATGTTTATCTTTATATATGTGGAAAACATGTGGGTATTTGTGAAGTGCTCGCGCACAATTTCGGCACGTCTTATTAAGCGATGATATCTTCGAAACTACGTTAGCACAAAATAGATATGTAGTGAAGTCAATCTTATTGTATGTATCTCACTTTTTATTATTACGCTTGGTGGTCGCACTGGGATCGTCGCCAACGCCGCTCTGTCAATCGCGCCCGTATAATTATAAAACGTGATAATTTGAACTTCTACTTATGTAACTAAAACCAATACCAAAATACTGACGTCTTACTTTAGCGATACACAAAACTGCGGAAACATCCATTGTTAAAATAGATTATTTAGTATAATATATGTTGAATTTTAAATGGGAGATTATATCGATACTTTTGTGAAATGGTACGTAACTATGCCATATTGACATATTATTGTAAACAACATTTTTTTACTAAAACTGTCTCACAGACAGAAATAAAAGTAAATATATATACTTTGGCAATAGATTAAAGTATCCGTGACATTTTTTTCTATCTATGTGGATTATTCTAAGTAATATTTGATGAAAACTGTTTACTAACCTATACAAAGACAATTGAGGTTGATTTTCGTTCTTTTCTGCACCACACTGCACAATACAACACACAGGCATATTGTTTTTTTGTTTCATTATATATATTTGAAGTTTAAAAAAAATGGTTCTTTGTAATTTACTGAAAAACCGCAATAATTTAAAACATAAACAACCGTTTGACAGGACAACTACCATGAAACTCAGGTACTCTGAGCGCTTAAGATGGCGGACATGGCACTTACCTACAACTTTGCTAATGTCAAAATGATTTGTTTCCATAATAAGCAACAACTTATATATTGTTGTCCCTTTTGTCTAATACAATTATTGAGTTAGAAAGAGTGAGAAAAAATGATATTTCATAGTTTGTTTCATATTTCCCTCATATTTGTATAAGCATGTATACTTCTATAGTAACACGGCGCCTCTATATATTTTCTATCTCAATGGTACTTCATGCTATTATTAATGTATTATTACCCAAGTGTATTTTCTGCTCGGTTGCCACTCAAAAATTATAATATATACCAAGTAGGTATGCACAAAATGTGACAAGCACGAACCTACCCAAACTCGAAATAAAGTACCATAATACACGGCAAGAAGCTTAAAAAAAACACGATTGATCGTGTTGCAAATAATTGACTTCACTGCACGATTGACGGGGTAGTAGGTAACTAAAACAATGAGACTTCTAAGATAAATATTTATGAATACAGGAAAGTGCAATGTTTGTCAAAAAATATTCGAATTTAATTTCTTTTGGGGTGTGTTATGAGAACCAAAGGATGGTAGTATGAACAAAAGTTAAGTTATAACTTTTTAGATATGGAGTTGGTGTCCATTAGGGATTCCTTACAACTTACCGCAAGAAATGTATCAGCCAGACCTGACTAAGTTTTCATCCACTGCTCAGCTCAGAAATCTAAGTACATTTTAAACAGTTTTAGAGTAAAATAGGTAGGTAGTTTGTTCTTAAAGAAGGGTTCCAGCTCCATTATAAAATATACTAGGTAATTAGATACTGTTGCATGGATTCACCTGCTACTCATTTTTTACTCCTCGTAGCGTATTTTATTGTGATAAGTTGCCCAACGAGCATTAGATTAACCCCCGTAACAACGAAGGAGTAAGGTATGAGTACGTTGTCGACCTTTTAGAGGTTTGGAGATTTTGGGATTGGGTAGGGTTTTTTTTGTGAGGGGAAAATCATCAAATGACTCCTCCCGCCCAGAGCCGGGCGAGAGGGAGTGTCAGACTCTTACTGACTAAAAACCCCCCTTTTCCTTCTCTTGCTCTGGGCCGAGGTAGCGGTGCCTCATTGCGCTTACCCCGCAACCCCGGCTGAACATCAGCCATATAGGGCCCCGTCTGTGGTGGTCTATTGGCTTTTTGAGGCGCGCGCAGAACGCTACGCGCCGTACGGGCGAGCTGCCCTTACTCACCGACCGTAGACCCGCGCTTACGGTGGCCTGAGATCATCTTTCGAATGGCGAGAGGTATAGGCAGGGGAGGATTTGAGCGTCCGGTAATTCCAATCACACGGCGAAACACAACACTGGTTGTTTCACGCTGGTTTTCTGTGAGGCCGTGGTATCACTCCGGTCAAGCCGACCCATTCATGTCGAAGCACGGCTCTTACACATAATAAAATTGAAAAAAAACTATACAACACAAAAATAATTCAAACCTGCATCTGCTTCCTTCGTACTTCTTTTTAAAAGGCCAGCAATTAACTTACTCTACTGATGTTGTCGGTATGAAGAGTGTCGCTAACTATTATTAAAAAAAAGAATTTGACGACAGCGGTTCCTATAGTAATTTTAATGCATTGCGTTTCCAATATTTTTTCTGTTCCGTGTTGATAATTTCAAGTTCAAGCCGCAACAGTCAAATTGTAAGTGTCAATAGTGACTTCAGAAATGTCACTGTCACATTGCAGTTTCAGAGTTGAAAAAAAAATTATACTAAATTTCAGATTTTCAGAATTTTGTGTTATTAATCAGTTAGCAATCTTGTGTCTACCTGTTTTATATTTATCAAAAGTGTATTTAATATATCAATAGTACTAAATTAACCTTAAAAAATGGTTGTTTGCAAATTTTTTCAAGCTGGATATTGTAAATTCGGGAAGAACTGTAGGTTTGAACATATTTATGGATCCAAATACTCTTACCATGGTAAGATTTACAAGTTTCTTCTAGTTTTATTTGTGCTTTACTATTTAATTTAAGTAATCCTATTTGTATATTCCAGTACAAAGCAAGATAGATATAGTAAATACCCCAAAATTGTATTAAAATTAGAAATCAATTAAAGTTTGAGAGATATTTTGGATGTAACTATATCAGATCTCGATAAATTAAATATCCATAGTAATATGACATAACAGGCACAATAAATTCTAAATACTTATTCAACCCCTATTTCCTGTATGAAGCATTTAAAATAAACCTTGCGATATAGTTAGGATTTGAGGGAAAATTTATATATTTCAGCCAATCCACAAACTCAACCCGCTCAACACACTCCTGCACAGACACTTCCTGGAGGCATTACGAATGATCAACTAGTGAAACAAGTGCAGGCTGATGTACAGGCTGCACTCCGAGGTGGCCAGTGGATCCTTTCCTGCTACTCTCCCATAAAAGAAAAGCCTATATTTCCAGGAATTCATGATTTGTCACCTGAAGAAGTCAGACTTTTCATATATGAGGCGAAAAATACAAATAATGTTGAGCAAGCTGTAAGTTACTAACAACCACACAAATCATAACAACCTATTTCACCACTGCCAATATGGAAGATCTATCTGCCAGTTGTAATTTTGGAAACTTCTTGACCAGCTGTGGTGAAACTGGGTCTTTATATTACATTACTTATTGATTTCGTCTAAATTGCTCAAATTATAAGATTAAAATTATTCACTTTTCAATCAATTACAGGTTGCGTATATCAATAATATGGTCAAAGAGACAAGACAGAAGTATGAACAACTGCTACAACCAAACATGGATATCATCAAAGTATTGAGAAGCCTCTACAAAGGAGAGACAGTTACTTCTCCATTCTCTAGTGGGCAACAGAATGTGTTCAGCAATTCCAACAGTGCTGCAGCTTCCATATTCCGTAGTGCTGTTCAATCAGGTCCAGTCACTAACCAAAGTGTGAATACTGCCCAGTCAATATTTAGTCAAGCTCAAAGTACTATTTTTAATCAACAAGCTTCAGATCCTGCAAAGCAATTATTTGCTCAAGCTTCTCAAAATACTTTTGGGCCAAGTCAACCTGTAAATAACATATTTGCACCAACAAACCAGAAGGTTGATCCAAAATCAGTGTTTGGTGTGGCTGCTCAAAACAATTTAAAACCAACAAATACAGATCCTTCAAACATATTTGGTGCTGCTAACCAAAATATATTTGGTAGAGCACCAAGTACAAATCCCTCTCCTTTCAATCAAGGGAATGTTTTCCAACCAACTCAAAACCCCACTTCAATATTTGGCCAAGTCCAGAGTAAGTCAGTGGCTGGTGATGATCCCAATTTATATAGTAAGATGGAAGATGTGGATGAAGCAGATCTAGAGGCATTCAAGAGTGATAGTTTTCAATTAGGTTTTATTCCTGAAATACCTCCACCTTATGAGTTATGTACTGCTCAATCAAGAACACAGTTATTTAGTTAGGTATAAAGTAATTTAATTAAATTAATAATAAAGCTGTTAAGTTTATGAGCATATCAATAAAGTATTGCAGACCATAGGTATGTACTTAAAGAGGTTATTAGTGTTTAATGTGGGTGTTATTAATTTAATTGTGTAATAAATTGAACTGTCGGTTGCTAATCATTATTATTCACATTACCTTTAAATCAATACAAGTCACTCATTTACAAAGTGCTGGTGAGTCTGATTAAGTTAAGGTCCATATGTAATGTAGATATTTTAATAAAATTGTAGTAATTGTTTAAATTGACTGGTACAAGTTTATAGCGTTTTTGTACTTTTAAGAAAATTTACTGATAAAATCCTGCTAATGTTATAAATGCATAACTATAAAATATGGATGGATGTTTGTTACTAAATGGATTTTGGTGAAAATCTGCACAGACAGAATTGTCTGGAATATGATATATAGGCTCATTTCCTTTTTAGTATTTTCAACTATTTTCATTGATCTATGAAATATTTATGTATATTAGAAGTGACTGCATGTATTACATGTTAAACCAACTTAGTCCATGGGACAGTCTACATGACAAGCAGTCAAAAGTTTTAGTGAAAATGTATGTAAACAATAAAAGTATATAACATGTTTTTGTGTTGTTTTGTAAATAAAGCAAAGTATGTTTTAAAATATTTGATTTCAATAAGTTAAGAATAAAAGCCCAGAATAAAGTATGTGTTCTTTTACTATAAAATTCTTCCACACCATATTTAAACATAGCAGGACGCTAATGTTTATTGGACTAGCTGACAATAGTTCTTTGTAGTCCCTTAGTGCACTTTAAATCCACAATCACTTCACTGGATATTAATTGTCAATTTCACCGAGATAGAGTTGTTTATCACTAGATGCTGACAGGACTATAGGTTCTGTCCTGTGGAAGTCCACATCATTAACGGAGCCATTATGGCCAGGCAGCTTGTAGAGAACGCGACGTGACGTTGTGTCCCAGATGTATAGGAAGCGATCTGACGATCCTGCTGCCACCTGTGGACGAATATGAATATGATTATTAAGATTTCAACCATTCAACAATGATACGAGAGATTCGCGAATACAGGTATTTGCAAATATAATCTATTTGCAATAAAAACCTATTAACCTGTCATATGACTCAGAAATATTTAGATATGACCTTTCCAGGGTTTTGAACCAGTACCTTCTACCTTCATGCATGAGAAGCGGCCTCTCACTCACGGAAATTGATTGTGTTTTATGTGACTTAATATTTTACAAACCTTGGAGCCATCTTGTGACCATGCACAGCGAAGCAGATTCTTCTCAAAGTTATGCTGATGACCTGACATAAGTTTAACGCAGCGTTCCGAAGGTGCGAACGGCCGTACATCCCATATCCGCAGAGTGTTGTCCATCGAGTTTGAGAGTAAGTATGAACCATCATGAGATAAGGCCATGCCTGGAATTATGAATACTAATATTATAAAGAGGTAAAATTTGTAAGTTTGTATGTAGGGGCTAATCTTTGGAACTGCTGGTCTATTTCACTGATAGGTAGCTACATTGTTCCTGAGTGCTATAGGTTATAAAATATCACGCCACGATCAAATGGAGCAGCGGGTGAAACCGCGCGAGAGTAGGTAGTTAACCATACCATAATGTAAGTTCCTAAAGAACAAAAAATACTATAATACATACCTGTGATTGTATCAGTATGGCCCTTAATTTTGTATGAAATCTGATTATTCCGGATATCCCAAACTTTCACAACATTATCAATTCCCCCAGAGATGATCTTTTCGGCAGTATCATTGAACAGAACAGAGGTGACTGGATAGCCACTGTCAAATGAGGCTATGGGGTTCCGTTTTCTAGCATCCCATAGTTTAATAGTGTTGTCATCCGATGCTGAAACTAATAATTCTGGACCCCTTCTTGCACCTATAAATGAACACTAAATTAGTTTCTAATAATTACAGAAATTACTATTTTAGTATAAGCATAGAGTTTTAGTAATGTATTCTTTTTTATGATTACATACAATTCCATATACACATCACACCAGGAACAACAATTTGTGGATCACACAAAGAGTTGTTCGGTTTGCCAATCAAAACTGTGATACATTGTTCAGCAGCCAGTTGCCCAGCTACCGCACCAATTGTTCAGTCGATTGTGGTAGCTCTCCAGTTTACTCCTAATATATAAAATAAACCTGCTGAGGTTTCAACCAATACCCGTTGAAAATTTGATTTTAGAATACAATGAATACAATTATTTTTAGTCTAGCAAACATCTCAATTTTAAAGCATTTTACTTATGACTATTTATTTATTTCACTATGTTTTTAGTCTCTTGGGTGGAACCAAGAATGTTCTAATTCAGGTATCTAATATAGTCAACATATCTAGCTTTAAGCGAAACTCTATATAAATGTAGATGTGTCTGTGTATGTGTTCAATTATTGTCACACTCTTTTTTTATGATGTGAGATGTTGAGGTCTATACTACAAATTAATCTCATAACATATTAGACATGTCGGATATAATATTTCTTACAAATAAAGGCTAAAATTATTATTATAACTAAGTAAACAAAAGTGCCCACCTGATACAGAATTAACAAAACTGGCATGGCCTTTGAGTTTCTTGATTCTAGTTCCAGTTGGTACGTCCCACACAGCAACTGTATTATCTGTGGCACAGGAGTACAGATGAGATCCATCTGGTGAAAAGCACAGCTCCATGACGGCACCTGTGTGCCCCTTCATCACCATTACATTCTCACATTGTCCATAGACATTCCATAAAACTGGAAATAAACATAATAAATATTAGTGGAAATGTGTTTGATAAACATTTTACTATGAGGATGCATGTTCCTATGAACATTAAAATTTCATCTCAACTTAGATCAAACTATGATGCTTATCACAATCAAAATGCTATGGTAATGAAATCCAGTATCCTTTAATGAACAACTACTTACATATTTGTCGGTCGAAACCTGCCGAAGCCAAATGCTTTCCTTCAGGGTGAAACTTGGATGTGAACACTTCACCCTGATGGCCTTCTAATAACATGATGGGCGCATAAAGGTTTGATGTACGAGGCACCTACAAGCAATAAACACATAACTTACTGTCTAGTTAATTTAGCAAGTATAATATTTTGTTTTCAATAAATTGACGACAACTTACCGATGATGTTACCACTGCCTTTTCCCTTGTACCAACAACTGAAATTTCATGTCGAGTCCTTTTTGCTGGAACCACGGATAGGTCATCCGCTTTCCGTTTGGCTTCTAATTCAGGCATTTTAATGATTTATGAAATATTTATCACTTTAATAACCTCTGTTGTCGATTCTGACTTTCCGACGCATAAAAACAGCAACAACTTTTTTTTTAATTAACTTTATTCATGACCATAGATACAAGTCTTTCAGTCGAAAACATAGATAAAACAGCAACAACTATATAGCAGGGTTATCAGATCTTGAATGTTTTTCCAGTACCAGGGTTGCCAATCAACACTCAACAATGAAACATGAATGAACCACAATATAAAAAAATCTGTCCCAGACTTATCATAAGGGTACGTATATGTAGGCCTATCCGAATAACCAAGTGAATTATAAGAAAAAAAAGTAAGGTTTCGTTTTCGCAAACGCAGAGCGTCCTGCGATTTCACCCGCTGCTTGTTCTATAAGGCGTCCTCGATAAATGGACTAACAAACACAAAAAAGAAATGTTCTAATTGAACCAGTAGTTCCGGAGATTAGCGCGTTCAAGCAAACAAACTCTTCAGCTTTATTTTAGATTTATTGTTTGCGAGGGAGATGACTTGGTCTGCGGTTGCTGCAATGTACCACAACGGTACGACCACAGGACGTCCTACGATTGCGTAAATGCCAAACAGAATTTAAGCACTACGTTTACGTAAATGCGGTATGTAAGCAAGGGAAACCCATTCACCGTTTTTATACTAATTAGTTTTAGGGTGGGCAATACAACTCTCTTCTCTATTGTCAATGCCAGATAGAACAGCTGATTTTGACATTGGTTGTTTTGTTCTTGACTTCCTGTATGATTTATTTTTACCAATTTGAAGCACACTTGGTACCTTTTAATATTTATGAAGTTATGACAGAAACTGTGGAATATTTTTAAATTTACGCAATGCAGAAATTGGAACTGACATTAGCTATAATAAAACCACATGCAGTATCGAACCCAGTAGTGCTATCATTCATTAGAAACCTTTTGAAACACAAATTTATTGTTGTTAGAACGAAACGGGTTAATTTAGACACAGAAACTGCTTGCCGTTTTTATAAAGAACACTTCGGCAAATTCTTCTATAATCGACTTGTAACCTTTATGTCAAGGTAAGGGTTTTAGGCAAGTTGGACCTTGAAATATCGACATAGCCCCCAATCATATTTTATTTATCATTTCAGTGGGAGTATAGATCTTCATGTGTTGGGACATGTGAATGCAATTGGTCTGTGGAGACAGATGCTAGGTCCCACGAGCGTGTACAAGGGACAGTTTCAAGAGCCACACTGTCTGAGAGGCATGTTTGGTATATCAGATACTAGGAATGTGGCACATGGTTCAGGTAAATGAAAATGGGTTACTATAGCAATAGATGTGGTTCCCTACTGTCTATTATACATTGTTCTTGATAATTTGCACCAAAATTAATTAAAATATTACATGGAATTTCAGATTCACATGAGTCAGCAGAGAGGGAGATTAAGTTCTTTTTCCCTGATTTTTCCTTCTACCACTGGCGCAACCATGATGAAGAATGGTACCGAAAGGGCCCAATCATATTCAATGACCATCACTTTCAACATGTAAAGAGGCTTTAGATAATATTAATTAGTGACTATGAAGCCTGGTGTGATAAATCAAATAGAACATTTTGCTTAAATCATCCTTTTGAATGACAAGGTGGGCTATGGCAGACAAATCAACTACACTATTGAATTTGAAGTTTTCTGGTCAGCTGTAGCCAAATATTTTTCATTTGTCACATTATATAGCTGACCATGGTAGGCAAAAGGTTAATAAGGGCCTGTGCAGACAAGGACTTTATAAGAAAAGGTCCACAGAAATCTTCTGACCATGGTAGGCAAAAGGTTAATAAGGGCCTGTGCAGACAAGGACTTTAAGAAAAGGTCCACAGAAATCTTGAGAAGTGTGAATAAAATTGTGATAGAGAAACCTTTAAATTAGCTTAGTGACAGGGCAACTGGCTGCTCTGCAATGTGGCACTGGTTTCTACACAGAACCTGTGTGATCCCCAAAGTATTGTAACAAGTTGGGTGGTTTATGTATGTGAACTTGTATGTTTGTAAACACACCCACATAGAAGAAAATCCCAATGCCCCACATTGGGATTTTCTTCTATGTGGGTGTGTTTACTTATTTAAGAGCACTTATGTAGGCAAATAATAGTACATAGTTATGTGGTAGTAAGTTATTCATCATTCACAAGAGATGTGAATGATGAATAATGTGAGTGATAGTGAGTGCCTTGTCAGTGCAGGCCATAGATTGATAGGAATGTTTAGTACCACTAATAAATTAGGTAATGAACATGTTGAAATGAATACATATTGTTAAGTTTTGACATCCTATAATTTTGTTATAAAAGTAAATAATTACTGTGATAAAATAAAATTCTTGAATGGCTGTAAGCTTGACATGCTGCAATAATAATTAGTTTTTTATTATTAATCATAAAATACTGCTAATCATCTACTTTTGGAAAAAAAATTGTATAATGATAACAATTTCTTGAAAAATATTGCATTAGCACAATCACATCAATGAGCACATGTTCAGCTGAAACTGCAGCTGTATTTGCTATACGTTTTTATTTTCTTCATATTAAAGAATATCTATTTACACATCAATAAAACTCTCGAGGATAATAAGTCACATAGTCGATGTATAATTATTATAGATTTTATATTCCAGTGTATAATTATTTTATTTTACTTGGTCTGCAGTGGTTAAATTATAATAATATTATGTGTTTGTCAACATTGGTAAAATATGTTGGGCTCTGTTTATCATTCAGTATAGTTTTTCTCCAATATTCTTTGTGCTATTTGAAATTAGCGAGATATGTAGTTGTAAAGTTGTGTCTGCTATGTTACTGTGTGAGCACTTATTGAATAACTGAAAATGTATAATATTTCCTTGTGTGATTTTAAAATAGAACATAGAGCTTTAAAGATAAGTTTATTTTATAAATCAAATAACGATGGCACCATGGCATCTTGGCGCAAGTTATAGAAATATAATTTCTTTCATAAAACAACCTAGTTCATTTGTCAAAGAAATGGTCTAAAAACACAAATAATGGTACTTAAATGTCCAAAAAAATTTATAGAAACACTGTAAATCATACAAATGTATCTAATTATATTAGTTACAACAATTAATAACATACAATTATATAATTAATACTAACATACGAAAACGTCAGATTATTTTAACTGAGCGATAGGACAACAATTTAGAGACATCAAACACGACACAATTTAAGATTTTATTAGGACGGAATCTGTAACAGAATCTGTGCAATCAGATTTATCAATATCATGTGTCAACATCTACCACTTATCACATAATTCATCAGATATTTCATTTTTGTTCTAGAAATTATATTACATAATTGTTAAAATATACATTAAAAGTCATTTTATATTTGTAACAAATTGTTTGTACATTACTGCAGGATTGAAAATGTATTGCATGTTTAATAGTTTATCAGATGCAATATTTTGCTCATATAACAAACCATTATGCATAAATCTGACTGCACTATACTGTCTAGAGGAATACCACAAATTTACAAGTTTTGACTCAGAAAAAATACAGGCTACTCATTCTCCTATTTTAACAAACACCTGGGGTCGGGAAAACACTTTGATTCCTTCCTCAAGTTTTGCTAATTGTTTTTCTAATTCCATTTTTCTATTACGCATTTTAAGCGTATCTGTTTTTACTGGCAATTTATTCAGTTCACTTACTAACTCTGCAAAACCTGAAATGAAATTTTTATTTGAGTATCAATGAAAGTTTGTTTAATGGGAGGATAATGGCTAGAACGAAAATATCACATAATATAATTAATTGCTTCTTACAACGACCATTGGTCTGCATCTGCATCAAGGCGCGACTGGAAGAAAATGCCTAAGGCGTAAAATGTAGCTATGTAATTTTGCAAGAAGTTTATGTTTCGTCCTGTGAGTAAGGTTACTGAGGCATAATCCTTTGCTTCCCGCCAATTTCAATTAAAAAACGCCAATTGCAAACCGTAGGCGATCTGTTTGCCAACCTATGCATATATGATTACATAGTGTAGAGCAAGGCAAATAATGAAAAAAAAATCATACAAAATATTACACTTACTATTTCTAAGCATCCTCAATGTTTCTTTACGTTCAGTATCAGGGAGTGTAACATGTCCAGGAGGACACACAGAGTGATCTTCTTCCAGCCTGCCACCCTCTCCCTCCTTTGGCCCCTGTTCCTTTCGTTCACGTAAGTATTTTGGTAACACACCCTTTTGGTAACCTGAATAACATGTTCAGTATAATTTTAAATATTTATAATTGGCAAGATTAAAAGTTACATAATTAGGGTCTCAAATATGTCATAAAAACGTAAATTTTATTTAATTCTAAATGTTATTGAAGTAAAATGCATATCAACCTGATGGTAAGTAAGGATCCTTGGTGTCTTTTCTCTCCAAAATGGCGTTTAACCTACTACGATTTCTTTCAATGTCTATTATATTATTATCATCACCAGCCCGGCGTGGAGTCTGAGATGGAGGTGGACTTCTAGGGTGACCAGTGTCTCCACTGGCTTTCATTTTAGCTTCAGTATCTTCACCCTCTTTCTTAGGATACAACATGGTTAACTTTGCACTCTCAGCTAGTTTCTGAGCAAGATTAGACTCTACTGTTTGACAGCCAATGTCTCGGAGGCGTCCTGTTGACTCTGATGACTGAACTTCTTCATCTGTACAGTCTTCAATTGGTTTAGACTGCCTTAACTCTTTTCTTTTGAGAAATTCTGCCATATCACCTTTTTTGATGCGTATATCGGCCATTTTTTTACGAGTGCTTGTAGAGCTAGTCTTTGCAATGTTGATTGATGTCTTTCCACTCTTATTTGAAGGTGATGACTTAACTTGACCAAGGGAGCTTCCAGCTGCGATGGGGTTCGTCAGCCGCGGTGGATGGACATTTTTTGTATTATATTTCGGTTCTTTAGGAGATTTGCTTTGAATATATTTTAGTTGCTTCATGTTTTCTTTGATGAAGTTCTTCTTCTGTTCTTTCTCTATAAAAATAATTTTGCTTATGAATTTCTTGAATTAAAATTTAGGTAAGCAGTTTCAGATGACCTACAAATGCATCAGAATAAACATCGATGTCTTGTTAACTGAAATTGCCATGACAGTTGTGTATGAATAGTTGAAATTGCCGAGTTAATTCATACTAGACAAGTAGAAAGCACAACGACGACAACAAATAAAAGAGATGGCCATGACAGCAATTCTATTTAGTGTGAAATTGAATGTAACGAACTTACTTGGTTCGGGGAAGATACCCTTCAAAGTATACATTATTATTATCAAACGTTAACAAAATCTAAACAAAGAAAATATGCACTCATTATTTAGCGTTCGATATAAAGCACACTTTTCTAACTAATGTAAACGTTCATTATTCTGCACTTTAAATATTTCCGAGATTAAAAAATAATTCAGTGATTTTTTGTAATTTGCGCTCGGTTTTTGTCACTTTTTCAAAAAACTGTCATGAATATTGTCTGTGGTGGAGTTTTGTTTCTGGCCACTTTTTGTTTTCATTTACAATTTTATTTATTTGGTTTAGTATTTATAATTAATTATTTTTAAGATTATTATTACTAAAATGAAAAGGGAGTAATAGTAACTTTATTGATATATTGCTAAGGTGAATAATCTTCTGGCGCGGTAATACAACATGTGCGTAGCAACAAATGATAAAATAATATGATGAATTGGGTAATAAAAGCTGAATCCTTTGATTTAATAATTAAATATGATAATCAGATAGGAGCCATGATAGGTTGAGATTATTAGGAATTTAGTATTGGATTGGTAAAGGGGCAAAATAAAGCTTAATATAGCAATTTTAAATAAGACTTAAACCACAACTTAAATATTTAACAATAGTGTGTAGTCGATTTGAGAAGCAGAGGGAATTGTAATTTCGTATTTGTGTCTTTCTAGACTAGATAAAAATATATTTGATGGGGTATATATCGATGTTAGTTCGGTAGCATCTTCGGTAAGGATTTGATCAGTTTTTGTTTTAAAGCATGTTATTATTTCTTCACCGTCAACGTCTCTTGGTCTCTTGACAGTTATTTAGCGCATTTCGTGAACGCCTGTTATTTCGAAAGGTTATTTATTATTTTGATATGTTTCATTTAAGCGAAATTAGTCTAATTTGACCAGCAAAAAAATGACTAATGTTACACCGTCGTCGTACAGTAAATATAAAATATCTCGCAGAGGACGAAAGCTCCAAGTTTCAGATGATACTAGAACTCTGGTCGCTTTACCAAAGGATGTTCCCGAACGAATTTGGTAAATATAACATCGATTCCTATATCGTTTAAAAGTTCGTTCTTTCTAACAATGCATTTGCACGGCTGCAACAAAGATAATATAAGCAATACGTTTAGGCTGCAAGTTTATTTTCAATAAAATACAGCATACCGTACGAAAAACGATGATGTTATCTTTCTATTATCTAAAAAGCAATTGATAAATTATTTTCATATGGTTTTTCAAACTCATAGCATAGCAGCATAGCCTGCACTATTCCATTAATGCAATATGCCATGACCATAAACGTGTTCCTGTAAAAAGCATATTTTTAGTCCAGTCTAGATATTAATTTCTTATAAACCACTTATTGATTAGAAACTTGTTGAAAATGTTTCTACCAACTTGTATAAACTTTATAGGGTACGAAAATAAGCAAAATTGCTTCGAGAATAGGATGATACTGCCATGCCGGTCATAGATGCGTAGGACATTGGTGAGTTGGTAGGCAACCGAAAGCTAAGATCTGCATAAAATTGAATATTTCAAGAAATATATAAAAGAATACTTTTTAGTGCCTAGCAAACTGCACATTTTTGGTTTAATCAACAGGGCGGAAATTCTTCAAAAAGAGGAAAATGATCTGATAATATTTGACATCAGAGAAGAGATCCTCGAGACCGCGTTGAAAATTGGCTATCAGCGTTATATGGAGAAGCAGACAGCTATATTCACTGTGCACTGCGCCACCGAAGCCTGGTTAAAGCTAATAGATTGGTAATCTTATCTTAGTTTTTTATGCGTTAGGCACCTCCCATTTACATCCGCTCGTATGGTGAATTTTTGGGAGAGGATTTTGTTTGGTAACTTCACTTACACGGAAAACAACTGCAACTCAAACACAGCAACTTAAATGTTCACAGCGAAAAAATGTAAGTCGGGTTTTTGGAGATCGGATGCATTTTGGAGAATGTTGAGGAGCTAATTCGGCAAAACTTTACCGGTTCATGCTGGATATCCCCTCGATAAGCATCACCGGAACCTAACTGCCTTCAAGGCCCGAGCAAAGAGGTTGCTTATAGGTTGGCGCGCTCCATCGCAGGTCACATCATCGCTTATCACCAGGCGAAACAGCGGCCTTACATTGGCCCTTTATTACTTATAGTAAAATAAATGTCATGCATACTTAGGCACTTCTTTCGTCACGATCCTGGTGAGGATCCGAGCGCGTACCCTCCTTGCTACATCCCTCATCGCGAGGAGTCTTGGATACCTGACCAGCCTCCCGACCCATCTCCGAAAGACACATGGGGCCGCCAAGAACTGAACGTGATAGAAGACACCCCTGATGCACCTGTGCGAAAATGGTCCAGCTCGTCATCTTTGGACGTTCCAGTCATAGAGGAAATACCACCGGAATACTGGTAAGATTTATGTGGCTTAGTTTCACAATGATTAAACATTACAGGGTTGTACGTTTCGAAAGCGCATGTGTGAGTTAAGGTCAAACTTTTTTGATAATAACTTTGCCTTACAGTTGGATGTTCTCCTGTGTCGTGGGTGCGCTTACAAATATACAATTTTATGGATCACACAATGAGTTGTTCCGTGCGGAAATCGAACCCGCGTTACGCTGCGCGGCAGCCGGTTGCCAAGCTACTGCATCAACCATGCAATCATTATCAACACTAGACCTATTATGAAGATTACATTTTATTCCTCAATGCCCTTATCTCTATCCTCTACTTAGTCTTTTAGATATTACATTTTCCCAGAGGGTCATGGCTATCCGGATGATGCGCGGATATCGCACGATCTCCGGTGAGGCGGCGAACCTCCTTGCCGGATCACCGCCGTGGGATCTAGAAGCGAAGGCGCTCGCGCGCGTCTACAGTTTGCGCGCAGATGCGCGTCGCCGGGGCGTAGATCCTCTGCCGCGCCAAATCAGTGCGTGGCGGAATGAGCTCCGGCGAGATCTCATGGCTGAGTGGAAGCAGCGACTGTCGCAACCGAGGGCCGGGCACGCTACTATAGCAGCGGTAAGACCCCTCTTTGAGGAGTGGCTTGAGAGACGCCACGGCGGCCTTTACCTTCCGCCTGACGCAGGTGTTTACCGGGCACGGCAGCTTCGGTAGGTTCCTGTTTCGGATCCAGCGGGAGGAAACGCCCGAGTGTCGTCATTGCGAGGACCACCTAGAGGATACGGTGGAGCAGCCGTATCCTCAGGGAAGTGATCGGCGGCCCCGGCCGCCGCAATAGGCGACATTCCGGGCATTGGAGATCGAGAGATGATCTCCGGCCACCGTAAGCGCGGGTCTGCGGTCGGCGAGTAAGAGCAGCTCGTCGCCCGACCAGAACCAGGTCCGAGCGTACGGCGCGTATTTCCGCGCGCGCCTCAAAGAGCCAATAGACCACCATAGACGGGGCCCTATAGGGCTGATGTTCAGCCAGGGTTGCGGGGTAAGCGCAATGAGGCACCGCGACCTCGGCCCAGAGCAGGACAAGGAACAGGGGGGTTTTTAGTCAGTAAGAACTCTGACACTCCCTCCCGCCCGGTCCTGGGTGGGAGAAGTCATTTGATGATTGTCCCCTCACAAAAAAAAGATATTACATTTGAAACTTTTATTGTCATTATTTTGGTATCTAGGTTTCCTGGCAAGGTCCATGTAGCTGAATCCACGAAGGGGACTAAAGTGAATGGAAAGAAAGAAAGACGTTCCAGGGCTGAAAGCTACGTAAGTGAAGTATTGTATCATATACAGTGCCACAGTAGAATGCGCCTTCGTGAAGTGCAGTGCTTTGCACAAAATTTTCAATGATATTGTAATTTGATTCACCAGGCTGCAATGAAAAGCCCCAATAGTTAACTTTTGACCAGTTTAACTACTAGTTATAGTGGGATTATGTGCAGGTGTCGACCAGCGACAGCCAGCCTTCATCAGAGGAGTATCTCAACACTGAAAGCGAAGTATTACAGAAGGTCACTGACTACAGCACCGAGGGGGTTTCCGAAAAGGTACAAACTGTATAACACTTTGTCATCATCATCATCATCAAATCAGCCTCAAGACTCGACTGTAGGGCTTCCAGCACAGATCGGCCGGTTGAGAGCAACCTGCATCCATCGGCTTCCTGAAGTCGAAGAATTGGCCTTCATTCGAGAGTCTTTCTGTCCCAATTGGCGTCGGTTTAATGAACTATGTGTCTTTCCCACAGCCATTTCAGGGCCATGACAGCGACATTTAATTTATTTTGCGGATATTGAACTTACTACACCACTGCACTTATTTCGATATTTATTTATTTATTAATAGGTTAACTCATAGCATATATATTTTAACAATTATAATAAGAGTCTTAGGTAATAAAGTTCTGATATACATGCCACTTACCATTAATGACATAATTATTATTAATATGTAAATAGAAACTATTGTTGAATGAGGTACAATCTTAAAGAAAGAAATTAAAAGTAACATTTAAAAATACCTGTGATTATCTAGACGTGTTAATATTTTGTTGGTACTAACGAAGTATAGGTTTAAGTACTACAAGATTGACTGGTAGACACGCAGACAGACAAACATAGTTTTATTTATGTACATTAAGTATCATCAGGAATCGTCACCCGGTGAATTGAAGACAACGACTCCAGTGGATGGGTCCCTGCACGGCGCTGGTGACTCCACGGTAGTGCGTCCCAGAAGACGCCTTACGGAGAAGAGCAAGAGCTTCATGAAACCTGGGTATGAAACATCTAGCTATCGTCCTAGTAATAACTTCGTAGCATTGAGTAAGTGTATCGGTAAAATAAACTTGCTATAAAAAATATAACGAAAAAGGTTGCCGTTCCGTCTTGCTTTTTTAGAAAATATTATTTACTGAGCCTTACATACGTTTGCAAATCTCCAAATGTTGCAAAAACATTTTCAACTGTATGTTTACGATTATCTGTTTACAGGAGTAGGTCGAAAGCCACGCTGCCGCCGCTAGACATCAGCGACTCGCGTTCTCGAATCAGTATTATTTCAGACTGTCGCTTGAGAAACCTCAGGTTTGTAGTATTGTGTTTCAATTTTATTTTTTTATTATACGATGTACATATTCACGGTTATAAGAAGCGTACCTACACATGAGGAAAACTTGACTGAACATTGCGAGGACTGCGAGATTGCTTTTCGTTTTCACAATCGAAAAATTACTTCGTTCAGCCATCTGATTGATTGGTTAACACGGAGCAAGCCAATCAGTGCGCTAAACATCATATACTTCGTTGATAAAAAAAAACATGGCATTAATTCTAAGGTATTAATTAGCAGCATTTAGACTTTCATTTATGTAATATGTGTAGATGCTTTAAACTTCAATGAGATTTTTTTCATTCCACACTGTTCATTCAGGTTTTATTGGCGGTAGGTAAGTGGGTACTTACTTTCATTCGGTTGAACAATTAAAAAGAAAACTATTATAATAGCGATTGTATTATTAAATACGCATGTAATTATTACGTTTGAAATACTTGTAATGGCTTTTATGTAGCGTGAGGCGAGTGAAAATAAAGGGTTGCCATGGGAAAAAATAGTTAGGTTGCCACGTGCAAAATAACAATGGGCCCACTTGAATAGGTTCACGTTTTACAGTGGGATTTCATTTGAAACGGGGTTAACTTGTATGGGGATGTGGGCAAGTGTGAGCTGCCGTGTTTTTATGCAGTTCTATTGACCTGGCTACTGGAATACACGTTTTATGTTTCTATAAGGGGCTCACATCTCAGTAAAATATGAAGGATGTTTTTATAGATGCTTTGTAGGGACGATTGTTTTGTTTGATTGACAAATAAACAATTTGAATAGAAATCAACGAGCTTTGCTGGTGTATCGCTCGTCTGTGCTGACTAAAACAATGACTTATTTAGTAACTTTTAACAAAGTTACAGTAGGTGGTGGTTGCACTAGTACTTGTAGGCAAGTAATAGAGCTAACACTTGACCTGCATTCGTCCACAAAAGCGAATGTAACACGTTTACAGGTACTAACATGTACTACAAAGTAGGATGGTGTCGTTGAACTACGTCGAGTCAAACTCCTTTGTCTTGCCACAAAGCGGTTCAATTTGAATGACATGAAACGCGTTGAATTAATCGTCGAGGGGAAAACTAGTTGATAATCAATGCGTTATATTATAAACGCGTTTTGTTGATAACGCATAGCGTGGACACTTGTGAACTTTGGATAGGGTTGTCCTATATAATACGTCGAGTCGATGACACCGATTTTTTTTATTTGTTAACTGAAGCTATTGATGTGGATCGTCGAATTTGCTTTTGGGACGATTAACCCCTTGATTATTGCCTAGATTTATTCTAATGTCTATTAACGTAATTTGGTAATTTAGGTAATTGTTGTCAGCCATTCGTCGATAAACTTGCATTCACACGAGTATATCATTTGCTTTAATAAGAAACGCGATGTTTTCGTTCCCTTCGAAATCACTCACGAGTTTGACATTTCTAAAGCTGACATTTACATTAGGCAGCAATTGAAATAGTTCTTATGACACGACTGGCTGGGGGCCCCCAGGCTTTGTACAGATGTCATTAAGTAGAGAGCTTAGAGAGCGAGAGGAATTATCAGGAAATGTCGGTGCAATTGATGACTGAAATTTGTGTACGATATTTTCATCTGTGTCAGTGATGCAAGTAACAGGTTCATATTTATCTCTACACTGAAAATCGTCTTTTGTTACCCTTATATTGTTATCCTGAAAATATCATTGTTGCTTGAAATTGTGTCACTGCCGGTTCGAAGTTCTGCAAGACTTCTTCCCACATCATAATGGGTTATACGTTAAAAGCTGATTGTTCCGTACAACATTTTTACACAAATATTTGACTTTTTAAATTACTTCCTAAACAGATAGGATTATGTAGAGTTGGTGATGTGCGTTTTTAAGCAGGTATTATTTCTCTCGTATAACAAATTAAGTTATGACGGGGTAATGCGACTAGTTTCGAACCACGCCAGAGGCTAACAGCATTGCACTATGTTTGCCGCGTTTTGTTAAAGAAAAAACGTTTATTGCAAACCAAATGTACAATATTATGTTATGATAAAGTACTTGAAACATAGCAGTCTTTTACAAGTTTTCCTGTGTCACAGATTATTTAAGTACCTATTTTTCTTGTTATGGTTGTGTGGCAGCCCTACCGCTGAGCGAGTGCTCCAGGTGTGCTCGGGTCAACGTTCGCTTCTCATCGTTTGATTATAGCTTTGTGTAGCTTTGTATACTGTGCGAGTATATGTAGATTATGTGGCGCGGCTATGCAGTTTTTAGATTATTGTATTTCGTACTTTCTATTTTACTATGTCTTCTATGTACTACATAACGAGTACCTTACTTCTTTACTTTTTCTTTACTTTACTTAGTTTTTTTATAAAGGGATAGCTGTTAGGCCTTGTCTGTGGTGGTCTATAGGCGCTATGAGGCGCACGCGAAACGCTATGCGCCGTAAGAAGCTCGGTTCTGGTTCTGGTTGGGCGGCGACTTACCCTTGCTCGCCGTACTTGATTACGGTGAAAGTTTAGTTTGAAAGTTTTGACTTTGACTTCCAATAAGAGATGAGGAGTGGAGTAGGTTCGCATAGAAAAAAACTAGCAATAAAAATACCTAGTACCTTACAGATTAGCCGGTATGATGTTTACTAGCACATACTGAATACACTTATTTGTTTTTTCAATCCCGATTTTTTAGGTGATACGCTGGTTCAACACTAGGGCTTTTTATCAACATACAACGTGGGTGAAGCCGTAGGCGGAAGCTAGTAATAAATATCAGAAAGCGCCAGAAGGTATCCGCTACTTATTTAGGATACGAATCTACGTATACTGGCTAAGGCTCGCTGTCACCAACATTTAATTAACAGTAAAACGTCGCTTATTAGAATTGTGTTGTCATTAATAACAGGCGGTTTGTAATAATAACTGCAATGTTAGACAATACGGCTTTGATGTCAACTGAGCGATGAGCGCGGGGAGGGGGAATGTACCTACCTTCCTTTATTAATTCGTTGTTATTGCTTCAATAGTTTTGGACAAGGATTTATGGGCTTTTGTCCGCTTTCGCTCTAGTCTATGTTACACTACCCGACCGGACCATACTTATCTAAGTCTACCCTACATTCACTTATTTACCCTACCTAGCAACCAACCCGATACTTTTTTCCGTAAGAATCTTTTCTGACTGACTTTTCTCGAGAATTGCGCTTAGCAACATATTTGGCTATTTACTTTTGTATTGTACTAGCTGCATGCGCCTTGCGGTGTTACCCAGCTTGTTTATACTAGTCTATGTCCATCTCAGAAACTGTCAGATAAGCTTCCTAAAAGATTTTTTCATCGGTAAATTGATTTCGGGGCCCATTCAATTAAAAAAATCCAAAAAAAATTATAAAAATGTTTATTCCCTCAAAAAAAATTACAATATTTAAAAAAAGCGCTGCACGGTTGGCGCAGTGGCAGGCAATTGACTGCGATGCAACGTGTCGCGGGTTCGATTCTTGCTCGGAACAACTGTTTGGGTGTGATGTGTGTATGTTTGTGGACCCACAACTCAGGAAAAAAATCTTAGCGTGGCAAATAGACTGGTGTTCGAGATAGGCATGCAATACCTGTGTTATAGGGAAATGTTTTCTCTTTATAAAATTAGTACAGATATATTTCAAATCTCTTTCTCTGAGATACTTCGACCGGGTTGATGTAGATGATTCACATTTTAGTATCAGGTACGCTACAGCAATATTTCGGGGCGCTTTGTTGATGATGACAGAACTGTTTTAGAAACGTCTTAATTGTAATAACCAACCTTTAAAACCAAATTATGGAATTGGTCTTTGTTTAGTTGGCACTCCTACAAATTGTGAATGATCCCTCTTGTTAGGAAATTAAACCCTATACGGAAATGTAATGTAATAATTAATTACGTGTATCACATAATAACATTGTTGAGCTGAGAATGTTGTAAATAGAGAGGTATTGGTATCAATCAGCTCGGTAGATATTGTTATTAGATCTTGCAGTGAGGGGTAGCTTTGCTCGCTTCCCGAAACCATTGAGATGAAACGTTTCAAATTAGTTTGTGCGCTGATTGTAACTCCGTAATAACAGTTATGTAAATAATATCATCATTTTCTGTTATAATTTCTGAACCTCGCTTCGTTAGAGCTGTATTAAAAGATCATTTTCATCAAGAAACAATGTCATCTTTCTATTTACCAATATCACGTGACATAGGGAACAGTATAATTTATTATTTCCCTAATTTTTAATGATGTGTTTTTGCGTTGTTTGCTTATATGAGACAAATTAACCCTGAGCTCACCGCCACCGCCATAGCACTCCCTTGGAATAAATATTTGACAAAATCTGGTTACATTACATAACATGGTGTGTTTAAAATTCCCGTTGATATAATCCCGGGGCAAAATGTGGAACATGCAATAAGGCTGATTGCATACGTGTTGGCCGCGCGAGGCGACAAGGCGCGGCGCGACAGTGCGCGGCACGACGCGGCGCGGCGCGACACGCGACTCGCCCGCTTTGTACAACTAAAAGCTTTTGTTCGTTACGGCCATGATGGATGGCCGACGAGAGACTTTTTTTCATTTGCTAACATGTATCGCGAAATTATTTCTTTTTGTTGCTCTTTCGTTGACGACAAACGAAATGTACTCGGAGTGAATTTGTGAGGATTTCGCGTGAGCATTGCGTCACCTTCGTCTTTCGTGTCGATTTTGTAATTCTTTCCAAGGAAAATGTGACAGCCACGTGTTTGTAGACCTTGTGTCAGGATTCATATTGCAAAAACGTCCTTATTAGTTTGTTTAAATTGTTTCTCAGTCTTTGCAACTTGTAAAGCGGTGTTGCTAGCAGAGAAATATGTAGAAGGAAATGAGAGAATTGTGTAAGATGAGGATGAAACGTTACTTACATTATTTATTTGAAAATTCCTTAAGCAGCATTATCAATATTTATGTAAATAATTGTGTATAAAATGTCGGTAATTGTTGTCTGTTGTTGCCAGAGCCTGAGAGAACGTAACACAGAGTGCTTAAAACGTTTACAGACATTGTACTCATTTATTTAAATTTAGCAATTACTCGGGAGACGAAGGTGCTCCCAGGGGAACGTCACAAAGGGAAGTTTTGTAACACATTGTCACGATGGGGTCTATTAAATTATCGTTGACAATCCGAAGAACCTCACAATGGTTCGAGTCCCACTCGAGTCCACGATTGCAAACGCGTTTTAATCAAAAGGGGTAGACGACAATGAAGCCTATTCACTCGTTGCCCTAATTTCCGGATTGCTTTAACCTTGCCAATTTGAGAAACTCGATTTTGTTTCACACAGTATTGGTGATAGGGTCGTAAATCGCATGTATTGTCGTAGTTCTAATTTGGCTAGGGACACGTGCACCATTGATTGATAAAATGTAGATATTTGTAAGTTTTGTGGTCGTGTGGATGTAATTGTCGATTTGAAAGGACTATTCTTTGTGAGCGGGTCGTTAATTTTGAACCTTTATTAGGGCTTTATATGTAGGTCTTTGTAAAGATGTGTACATTGCGATAAATAAACTTTGCGTCGGTTGTGCTATAAAAATAATGGAGATATTCTAAGCTCTCTCTCCTTTGAAAAATTTGCAATTTTCCCATGAAAGCAATCCGTTTATCTCGGTACAATTACATTTTCGTGAAGCGGCTGCCTATCCTCATGGAATAAACCCTTAACAGGGTCTCATGGCACCCATCGGTGGGGTTGTGTTCTTTGTAAATCGTTCACCATATGATTACAAACACAAAATAAGTGTTGCAAAGCCCCCTGCTACACTCTGATAAGACAAGCGTTAGATACACGAGAATGTGCGCCAATTTCTTTGTGCCCCCTTGGGCATTAATTTCTTGTAGCCTCAGGAGAAGTGTGTCGCTGTTTTAATATTAAAACGTCTTCATATTGGTGCATTCTGTATTCGAATAAAACTTGTCAAACGATTGTTACCAATCATAGCTAGGTTTATGCTATTTACTTAAATTGGATTCAAATATTGGACTGAAATTTTTCAGTCCATTCCAGAGATTCAATTTTTTTTTGAGAGAAAATTATCAAATGAGTTCTGCCGCGCCACGTGAGGTGAGAGAGATTGTCTGTTACTGACTAAAATTCCCTCACATTCTTTCACCTGTTCTATGTCGCGGTGCTTCATTGCGCTTACGCTGTCCTATATAGCTAACATTAGCCCTATAGGGCCTCGTCTATGGTGGTCTATTGGCCCTTTAAGACGCGCGCGCAATGCAACGCGCCGTACGCTCGGGTCTGGTTCTGGTCGCGCGACGAGCTACCCTTACTCGCCGTCCGTAGACCCGCGCTTATGGTGGCCGGAGATCGTCTTATAATCCCCAAAGCATGTAGTGTTGTCTACTGCGTCGACCCATCTGTAATGGTATAATGGCTCTTTGTGTCGTGCAAAACGTTGCACACCGTCCGCAACACTTTTTTTTTGTCAGGCTGGTGCTAGGCTGCAGGTATTGGCTTTTTGAGGCACGCGCGGAAAACCCTTGCTTGCAGAGGCTGGGGCGTCGGCAGTACAAGGTTTTTGGCCTTAAGTGAGCATTTGGGAACATTTTGCTGTCGACTTGCGCAGAGAATGTTCCAGAATCCTCCCCACCGAGATCTAGTGTTAACTTGGTGACGTCAGACATATTTCCTTTCAATACATTTTAATGTCGCATCCATTTTAAAGTTTACATTTCCTTACGAAGTCAATGCCATAGGTGATCGGCCTCTCACCTCGCGGTCCTAGGTTCGATTCCCGTATAAAATGTTAAGATTTATACGAGAAAAATATGTATATTTGAATGTTTTTTCATGTTGTTAACTTGATTTGTTGAATTTTGAGTTATATTAGTGATGATCGCTGTATTTTGAATTGACGATGGGCCCTCGTCTGTCTGTCCGTGCGGTAGACTGACCGGAGTACTGAACTTTGGACATCGCGGTATTGTAATATTGGAATTCTTTGTGCTCTTTGTCGCTTTGTGTACCGAATCGGATTAGTAACGCATTTTTTGTATTGAGATTTAATTATTATTTATGTATAATGTGTGAATAGGTGTTTGTCTGTGTAGCTTATTGTTCGGAGTTTAATTCTTTCTTTGTTTCTCATTTAATTATTATGGACATCCAGTAAGAAGCACTGTGTGGGATGGTAATTATGTGACAACTTGATTTATTTTGAGTCATTACGAATAATGCGTTACGGTTGGTTAACTTACTTAGGAGGTTATGATTTTTTACTAAATAAAATTGTATTTAACATATTTCCCTAAAAGAGAGCTCTGAGATTGATAGGTTATTGGTTCTGATACAGGGAAGTTTTTTTATTTGAATTTGTAGTTTATTAATTGTTATACTTGTGTTATGTATAACATAATGAATTAAGCCCTTTCCTAGTTTTTTTTTATGTAATAGATCGGCAAACGAGCAGCGGATTACCTGATGGTAAGCAATCAGCGCCGCCCATGGACATCCGCAACGGAGGAGTTACGAGTGCGTCGCCGGCCTTTTAGGGATGAAGGATTTGGAGATTTAGGGATTGGGGGAAAGGAAGGATTGGGCCTCCGGTAACCTCACTCACACGGCGAAACACAACGCTGTGGTTGTTTCACACCGGTTTTCTGTGAGTCCGTTGTATCACTCCGGTCAAGCCGACCTATTCGTGCCGAAGCATGGCTCTCGCGCACTTATATTTAAAATATCGATAAAATGCTTGCTCCACTCAGGGCAGGAGAAGTAATTTGGCGATAATTTTCACCCCTCAAAAAAAGAAAAGTAGTATCTATATAAATATGATGATATATGATTAGACACTTTCCTCAGTTACCTACTTTAACTATACAATTATTTGAACAGGTCTATGAATCCAGAAAAAGATGTTCCCATGTCAATAAGACCATGACACAACAACTCGCTAATAGTTTCTTGTCACCCCCGTGACGGGTAATTGGACGAGAACTCACGTATCGACCCCACTCATTTGTCCCACAAATGTAACTTTTACTACATTGTGATAAGGTATACTGTTCTATAGAACATGTGTGCGTATTTGGGGAATTAAGATAAATATAGCAGAATTTTTAGGCCGCGAGGGCTTTTTTAGTTGACGAGAATGGGAAGACACGGTAAGGATGTTGGCGATTGTTCGGACATTCCAAGTATGTGCTTATCCATATTATACTAATATTATAAAGAGGTAAAATTTTTGGCAAAAGTTTGTATGTAGGAAGTAATCTTTGGAACCACTGGTCGGGTTGCCAAAATTCTTTCACTGACAGATAGCTACAATGTTCTCGAGTGCTATAGGCTAAAACATCACGCTACGATCAAATGGAGCCGAGCGTTATTAAAGCCATTTTTAATGCAACGCTGAAGCTGAATTGAATTGAAATTTTTCCACTATTTAAAGAATGTTATTATATAAACCTATCTTTTTAATCACTCTACCTCTCTCTACAAAAAACCGCATCAAAATCCCCTGCTCAGTTTTAAAGAAAGTTTAAAGTATAAGTAGGGATATAGGGACAAAGAAAACGACTTTGTTTCTATGTAGTGACAGAAAAAACAGGTTGTATGCTTGTATATTTATCGATTTTTACGGTGCTGATAATGTTGAGAACTTGCCTGGCAAATAATGCTATCCTTACTGGCTACCCTTACTAGTAACCAATTAATATACATTGTACAATATAAGCCGCGTCGCAGCGTCGTAAACGTGTCGTATCGTAGTCGTGTCGTGAGATATAAAAGCTAGACAGTTGTCAGCTCTTTTTCCTAAATGTGCTTTTTATTGGATTAACTATCCATTAGCCTACTTGATGTTGTTCTTTCCGAAGAACAATTACAGGAATATGGCTACCCGGTCTTACGACGCGGCCTAAATGTCCCTTATTACATTAGCTAATCGTTAGCAACATAGAACAGGTATTAGGCAGAAAGATTACAGTGACTTTGTTAGAAACAGAGAATGTTTGTTATGATTAAGTATTGTTACTTGTGTTTCGCTAATTAGTATAAGTGTTGTACATAATTTTAGAATACTGACTTTGGTGTCTTGTGTGTGTTTTTTTTTGTAGCAAACGGCTTAGAAAGAAATAAGGTTCCAGTTTCATACAAACCTTTTGGTTTATTATCGGGCACATTTCGAAGAGTGTTCGAAGGATCTGCACAACTTGGTTTCCCCTAGTCCTTTCCACCATCGTGCCGCCAGACAATCAGCATAACGACTCCGCTTCATGCTGGATATCCTGCTCACAGACGCGAAGCGCTTCGCCTCCAGTTTTACATGTCGGAGTCTGTGTTCCCCGAGAGGTATAACCTGCGTGTCTTTGAGGTCAGAGTGAAGAGGTTGCTTGTAAGTAGCCGTGCTCCATCATCGCTTACTAACAGGCGAGACAGCGTGCCAGCACATTACTAAAACAAAAAACATCAAATGTGGGAGAGCCAAGCTTCGGCACGAAACAACCACAGCGTTGTGTTTCGCCGTGTGAGTAAGGTTACCGGAGGTCCAATCTTTCCCGTCCCCAATCCCTTAATCTCCAAAACCCTAATCCCTAAAAGGTCAGCAACGCACTCGTAACTCTTCCGTTGCGGATGTTCGTGGGCGGCACTGATTGCTTACCATCAGGTAATCCGATTGCTTGTTTGCCGACCTATCACATAAAAAAAAACACCATGTCTGGCTAAGCGTCAAAGCTTACCTAAATCCTATTACAAACACAAGACTTGAAAGTCACTGGCGATCTGCCTACCCTTTTAAAGAATAACAGGCTTTACTTTATCATAATTCTTGTTGTTCTCAACATTAACCTATGTGGACCTTTTGTATGATGTGTTTCGGCGCGGTTCGTCACACACATGTGTCAGACACTCCATTCGACACCGCGACACAGCTGTGACACTCCCATTGTTGTTTGGCTCCAGCTAAAGGTTAGCTTTGTGTAAATATAGCCCGTTTTCATCGGAAACCTACCTGATGAGGTGTTTGTGTGTGGGTCAGGGAAGATGTCAAAAGAAATTGGATTTCATTCATCAATTCTGTAGTGTTTTTCCAGTTGATTTTATTTGTTGTTTGTTGTATTATTTTTAGTGTAACAAGTCAGGTGTAGTTGTTGCTTTACTCGATTGTTTTCATTTACAATGTACTCAGATAGAGTAAATAAGATAATTATTTCGTATGTATTTCGTATATATATGACGTTGGCCAACACTTTTGATATAGTTTTCCTTTGTGTATTGGTAAAATGTAAAGATGACAAAGGAAAGACAATTTATTTTTATATAACGTTACACTAGGATTTTCTTCTGTGTCGTAGGTACGTTTACAAATATACAATTTCACATTTATTCGGGTCTGTGTGCTGCCCTGATCCGGAATAACAATTTGCGGATCACACAAAGAGCTGTTCCGTGCGGGAATCCACCCCGCGACACGTTACGCAACAGCCCGTTGCCTACATCGCCAAACGTGCATCGCAGATTTAACTTAATAACTGCAGATATTAAGTTTTGTATTTAAATTTATGTTCGAACATCTATTTATTCAGTTACAAACACATTTCCTACCGTTTCTGTTGTCAGGTTTTTAAACACATGGATTGAGCTGTGACCGAACAGAGTGACTGAAGCATGATAATCACCTAATTATTTATACATACAAGTTTTTCATGAATAAGCGATGTGGGTAGCTTTGAAATATTTTCCTTATAGGTACGTAGATGTGTTTGGATTATGCATGCGGATTCCTATCGCTGGCATCTACGAATCACCTTCAAATTTAGCGGTCGTTAACTCGCCGCGGATGGACAGACGAACGAACATCCAGTCCGCTGTTCTGACATGTTACCCCAATACCGGCAATCGATATTATGTAAATAGTATGGACGTGGCTAAAGTTTGCTAGCGACGTCTTGCATATTTGAACTTAATTTCTTTGGGGTGTCTTCATAATTGATGAGCGGTTTTTCTAGAAAGTGTCTATCCTATTGACTGGGTTTGGAGTTTTGAACTTCAGGTAACTAGGCTAGGCTTACACATTGACAAGAATTTAAACTGGAATACACAAGTCACTAGCGTGTGCAAAACAGTGACCGATTCGCTGCGGGCCCTTTATCGCGTGAAAAACTTGCTTCCGTCCGTCACCAAGTCGATGCTTGTGCAGGCCTTGTTGTTCCCTATAATAGATTATGCTGATGTTTGTTACTATGACCTGAATGCAGATCTCCTCAATAAACTTGACCGACTTCTAAATAACTGCATTCGTGTCGTTTTCAACCTACGCAAATATGATCATGTTTCTACACATCGGTTGCAATTAAAGTGGTTGCCCATTCGCCAGCGCAGGGAGCAAAGGGCGCTTACCACTCTATTTTCCTTTCTCAACTCACCTTGCCTACCTACCTATCTGTCCCCTTATTTCCAATACACCTGCGCAAACCATAGTAAATATCTTCGCTCATCTAATAATCGTCTCCTCAACTGTCCAACTCATCACTCAAAATTTCTTCACTCCTCCTTTTTTGTTCAATCTATTCTTCTGTGGAATGCGCTACCCCCCGATGTCAGGACTGTGACTAGTCGGCTGACATTCAAGCAGAGAGTTCGGGAGCTTCTTCTGGGGAGGGTTGGGAAGTCATCGTGATCATGACTACATTTATGTATATATATGTATGTATGTATGTGTTTATATGTGGAAATATATTAAGTAGTATGTGTTTTATAAATATATGTATATAAGTATAGTTTTATGTACTTTATGTATGTTTATATAAACCTATGTTATACTACTCTATTTCGCTTGCTTCTTGCATCTACTACTGGATTCTCTGCATCACCCAAAGGTCGACTGGTAGAGAATGCTCAATGCATTAAGTCCGCCTTATGTACATACAAATTGTGCATGAAGTATAAATAAAAATAACTACGAAAGTGATGTCATCAGCAGCGATATTTTGAAGAAGCGTTTAATAATTAAACTAATTTAAAAAAATATTTCACAGTTGAAACTGTGTTTTTGTTGCTGTCTGGCTATATTTATGATCAGCAGGAGTTGCGGGGCAAGCGCAATAGTATCGATCTGGAGAGGAACAAGGAACAGCGTAGTTTTTGGTCAGTAAGAGTGGCACTCCCTCTAGCCCCAACCAGGACATATACACTGGGTATGTGCCCCGGGTGTATAGATTTGTCAAGTAGGCTCGGTTTAACCACATTAGGCCAATAGGAAACAATCACTCGGCAGCAAAGAGTATATGTGGCTATATCGTCATTGCTCGGCAGATAGTACAGTTTCTGTTCTTCCTTCATTTCCTCTACCGCTGTGGTTGCTAGGGACGCTAGCCCAAACCGCTGTATAGAAGCAGAGCAGTTTGCTTTTCTTTTCTTTGGGGTCTTTCCGTTCAGATATTGGCAGAACATCGCCTCCTGGCTTATTCGAGTCTAATATGTCAGACATTCGCATTCACACAGGGTGTAAAAGATCTTCTACGATATCGACGTCTCGAATATAGGGGTAAAGTGGCAAGCAGTTTGGTTTTTCTCGGATATATTATGGAGAGTGTGTGAAAGAATAGCTCAAGTTGATTCCCCCTCCAACATCCACCATCATACCACCAGACAATCTAAAAAAGGGATACCACACTCATACGTACTAAGCAACTCAACTCCAGTTTTGACATCAGAATCAGAAGGCGCGAATCATTTCCTGGAGTCTGTATACAGACTCCCGAACAGTTTAACCTGAGGGTCTTCAAACCCGAGTGAAAAGGTTGTTTAAGAGTAGGCGTGCTTCATAGTAGTTGGCATCATGGCTTACCATCAGGTAAGAAAGTGCCCATGTTGCTTGTCGGTAAGAAATAACTGTAAATTAAAAAAATATTCCAAACATCTTTCACATAATTCACCAGTTCAGTAGACCATCTATGATAGTCTTAAAATATTGTTCATTGTTAAGTATTTGTGTAAAATAGTTCAACCTGTGTCATATATATTCTGTGCGTCGGCCATAGCAACATAGACAAGCCTATGAAAATATAATACAAATGTTTAGCAATTTAAAACGAACTCAAGGTTTTTTGGCCTGGGGTCATCGGCTTTTCAATACAAGGAGGCGACATCAGCCTCGTGATTATTGTAATGGATTTATTTTAAAGCAGGAGCCTGACGTATTCCCAGATCAGGTCATGCAAATACATGGACACAAAGGCAGATACCCGCCTCGGTATTACCATACTGTTGATTTATTTAACTTCTATTTTAGTGCTTGAAAACATGAGCTTGTTTAGAGATCTAGATTATTTTTAGAGCTGAATGAGTAAATCAAGATAGTAATATAGTGTAGGTGGACTCATTCAAGGTGATGAAAAAATTCTGGTCTTTTCTAGTCAGGTGATGCCCCACCCTACCATGAAGGACTGGGTCTTATCAAAGTAAAACCGTTTGATCGATAAGCAATATTAATTAAATATTATTTGTTCACAGATTAGATACGCAATTTGAAATAACGTCAGAGAAGGTGGACACCCCACCAGGTGAGGTGGTGAGACGGAAGTAAATCGAACAGGATTTTTAGAATTTTACGGTTTAGGAATAGTCATTGGACAGGATTTTGGGTTCATCAATTTGTGGCTTTCTTTGTAATTGTAAGTTGTTTCGGATGTAACATATGAAAGTTAAATTTACGTACCTGCTCCTTTATTTAATATTTAATAAATTTTGATTGCTAGTTTAGTGAAAGCTCTTGTTGTTATTCAGCCCTAGAAGTTACAAACAAAGCAAACGACATCAAAGGAACAGGATTTACATTGTGACGTATGTCTAAATCCTCAACTCGGTAATAATGACAGTCGTAAGATGGGAGGAACAGAAACTGATTGATCCCTCAATTTAAACGTAATCTCTGACGGAGTGCCGAGGCCGGCTGAAAGCCGTTAATGTCAGTAACCCTCTTAACTATACAAAGACATGATTACTTGGAGACTGTCAACAAAGGGGTAACCAGTGTCCGTCCATTATCGATCAGTGGCCTGTACTGGTCGGTGGCGTCCAGACAAACTAACCATCCGTCTTTGTGACGGACAGACGGACGGACGGTATTTTAGGGTAATTCACGCTCGCCGATTTGAAGGGGTTCAGTAGGGGTTTGTTTCAGTTGGACAGTAGATCGTTTATATTGCTGTGAGGAGCTTCCCGAGGGTGTCGTCGAGTAGGATAGGGCCTTGAGGGGCGATAGTATCTTTGTAAGTAATCTACGTGTGTAGTTCAGTATGGATCAACGAAGTAAACGAAGAGAAAGTTACATCATCGTAAAAGTGGCCATATCTGTACCAGGATTCCTGCTGTAGTTAATGATGGTGATTATAATATAAAAATATGGCACTTTCAAGAATATATGTATTTATCAGAGGAGTTAAGAGTGCGTCCAGCCTTTTGCGTATATGTATAGGGATTTGGTAGGGACGAGGGCATGGAAGGTTTGGGCCTCCGATTACCCCACTCACACTGCGTAAGACAACGCTGCCGTATTTTTACACCAATTTTCAGTGAGGTTGTAGTATCATCCGATCAAGACCCGGTCCATTCGGGCCAAAGTATGGCTCTAGCATGTAAATAAGACCTATTTTAATAAAAAACGGTCTAAAGCAACGACTAAAATATGTCTAATATCTTTACCATTATAAGATACATTTTTAATCAGTGTAGTTCAGTTACAAATATCACGGTCACAATACGAAAACACATTGTTAGTTAACAATACATCCCTAACATTCCACATTTCTTGCTGTCCATCCGAGTTATCTGTGCAATAGTTATAATAGTTTGTTTTTATGTTATTACTTACTTTGTCGGGGGTAATGGCTCGTTCGGTGATGCTTGTTCTTATCTGTCTGCCAATGCCGTTTCGGTGACGCCTTGAGTCATGCACAATTTAATACGAATGGTGGAGTGTAACATTATATTGTAGAGGGTATGTTCTTGATGCGTTGAGGGTCTGCAAGTGCTACATGTATTGCCAAGCAAGAGTTTTTGTTATGGGACAGGTCGGCATACGAGCAGATGGATTATCTAATGGTAAGCAATCTTCGCTGCCCATGGATACCCGCAACACCTAAGGAATTAAGAGTGCGTTTTGGGGATTTCGGATTTTAAGGATTGGGAAGTGATGGGGAGGTACGTAGGGATTGGGCCTCCGGCGACCTCACTCATACGGCGAAACACAAAGCTGTATTTGTTTCAACAGAAGACTGGCCCTCCCACATTTTTCAAGTCTCCGATTTAGATTTTTGAATATTCAGTAATAATGACGCATGCAGTCTGGTCCAGTGGTAAGCAATACATAGGAATAGCCTTGTATATGTATAGCCTTCATATTTGAACTGCTTAAATCGCTTTAGAGTACGGGGAATTAAGCGAGAATCACCTGATTGTAAGCGATGATCGCTGTCAAAGGATAACCGCAACACCAGAGGAGTAACAATGACTGCACTGAAATTTTATGTTTTTAAACGCACCCACGACACAGTAGCAAATCCTAGTGTGGGGCAACTTTTCTATGATAATTAATTCCAATAGTAGGTACAAAGCTGATGTTTAGTGTCACCGCAGCCTAAGTAAACCTGCCGGGGTTGCGGGGTAAGCGCAATGAGGCACCGCGACCTCGGCCCAGAGCAGGAGAAGGAACGGGGGGTTTTTAGTCAGTAAGAGTCTGACACTCCCTCCCGCCAGACCCTGGGCTGGAGAAGTCATTTGATGATTTTCCCCTCACAAAAAAAGCCTAAGTAAATCTGCAACACCCCAAAGGCATCACAAGTTTGTTATTGGTGGGTTGTGATGTGATGAATACTGCGTTGCGTGTCATCAATAGCTCGCGGGCTGCCATTTTTGACTTGTAGCTTCAATTATAATATATAAGTTACAAGCAACTACATTAAGGTAGAGATTTGCCTATATCTGTTCAGTTTAATGTAACTGTTGACATTGAAGAGCTACCCCACCGACATGGTGCAGGGTACCAGACTGTGGCTAACACAGGCACACACACCACTGCACATGTCGCGTTAGACCAGGCTGAACTACAATGCTCATCCATAGGAAACGTGTGAACTTCTACTTCATTGGATAACTGATTCAGTAAAGTGTTATTGAGTGTTTGCTCGGTTTTTGAAACTTTACATTTAAAAATTTGAAAACTCCCAGGAATCCAATATAAAAACAGAACTATGGAACTGAAACCATTTCTTTTCTTGAGTATCAACCCTAGCACATACAGTTAAATGGAATTGCTACATTTTCAGCTTTATTGCAAAATGATAAGGTTGATAATCTTTTGGGGTATCTCGATTTGCCGGTGTTCCAACCAACTGCTGCGTAATATCTTTGTAAATCGAGCCATTTGAACTCCAATCAATTTTGTTAATTTGGAGCGAGCCGCTTCCTAAGTAATTAACATTGGTTCTGTAGCTGGATGGGCAGTACAGGTGCCGGTAGCACGTTCACTTTATAGATAATTATAATTGGTTGTGTGGTAATTGCAGCCTGTTTTCGGAAAACGCTCGCGGGAACGAGTTTGAGTGCGTGCCCATTGTTATCTTACAAAATGCTAAGCAATGGATGTCACTTCGACATGTATAAAGTAATGGTCGTGTTCGATATTTCTATACTACGCATGCACGAGGTTTCGAATTCGCTGCCTGGGTTAATCTGGGTCCTACTATTTTTGTAATTTCGGTTCTCATAATACCTTGAGACAAGAGACAAGAGTGATTTAAAATGTTACTTAGCCGTAGCCTTCGTGTTTTTTGACATAACCAACGGCAAAATCTTAAGCATATAAACTTTAATAGTAGTAGGTAGTGACGTCGTCGTGTCCTCACATTGGTTTAGAGGAGGGATCCTCAGAGGATTACGGCTTTCAATGGGAACGCGGAGGTATCGTCGTAGGCAAGAGCAAGCCGCGATGGGCCGCGATACCAATCGCCCCGATTCCAGTTATGGATTATAGGCAAGGAGCTCACTGCTGTGCAACCTACCTGTGGATCATCACATAGTTGTGCGAAATTAGGTATGGCATTCGGGCAAATAGGGCTTAAAATTGTTAAAAGTTAGATTACAGATTATTCCATGTTTTGACGAATTTAAAAAATAATGATTTTTGAATTTAAAGATTTCAGAAGGTTTTTTTTGATAGGATGTCAACGGAACTTCTCTAATGAGATGAGTAACAGATTAATATACTAAATGTATATTAATCTGTTACTTCCTCATGACTTGAGAGGAATAATCTAAAATAACTGAGATTTTATAACCTATCTATATTTCGTGTAACAAGAAATATCTAAGTAAGCAGGCTTGATTGATGATCTTTAGCACCTATAATATGGCTAGCTCTCAGACTAGTATTCCAGCCTACTCCTGGAACAATTTATTAGTTGTATAGCTAACGGACGCCGTGGACTAACGGGGCTTTATGGGAAAAATGGCGGCCACGACTGTCTATAAATACAGACTGCATCGGTGCTGGGTGTTTTATATTTTTCTAAGAAATTATGTGTTCTGTTTTTTTTTATTGATTTCTAAGAAATGATCTTCAGATATGGCTGCCAGTATTTTTGTAAGATATTTTGTAACCCACATAATAACACGTTTGCTTGCAAAACCTATGTATATTACCTACCTACAAGAATAATGCGCAAAATCCCTGAACTACACCCAAATCCCGCAGTTTCTTATGCGCAGTACATCAACTTTCCCTTTAAATGATATGGCGGCGGGAGTGTATGACGTCACGTCCCCTTTTGATGGTGGACCGCACGTGACGTCATCACATACACCTGACTAGGGCGACGCACGCCGCGGCTTACTCGGGACGGGTGGGCTTGAGATACGCTCCGAAATATTTTGCGACTGACGGATCGGGGTTACACGGATGGGTGGACTTTCATTTTTTGCTCCAGCGAGAAACTATTCCATAATATATTGAGTTTTGTTCAGCTGTGTGGTTTTAGAAGCGTCATCATTATAGTTTATAGTTAGTTACATTTTATAATTTGTTACACCTGTCTCGCCTATTAAAAAGGCAAAAATAATATCATAACCTGTAGTAACAAAAACAACACGGCAGATTTATACAATGTTCATTTTAGATAATATATTGGATTTGCGAGAAACATTTCCGTGAGCGAGCACGTGTGGTTACCCGATACATTTGTCATTGTCGGGTGGCAACCGCTCTTCCAGATATTTGTGAAATGTGCGCCTCGCTGGCTCGAGAATGGAGCCACATTACTGGTCCGAGGAAATCTGATAGAATCCAGCATTCAATATGTTCTCGAATACATGCCGCGTCTGCGAATACCAATGAACCCTGATTTAAAAGTTCATGGTGTTCCACCATCGAGTTTACTCCGTAACTGGCTATTTCTATGTAGATATTGAAATTGAACATCAATCTCTTTACACATAAAGTCGAAAGGGTTCTAGAACGAAGCGGGACTTGTGTCTCTCTGTCTATATTTGTGCTGGTCGAAGTGAACGTAAACAAAAAAAAAATGAACC